GCTAATCGCTCCGCTACCCTTGAAGCGCTCCTGTTCCAGGGGGCTTCTGTTCATCGAGGCTCTACCCCCGCCATCTCTGCCTTCATGATGGCGCGTGGAGGGCGGGAAGATGTTCTTCCTACCACTGGCCTTTCACCCATGCCAGCATGGAGAACAAAGGGCCCCAAACAGAACCTCACGTACGCTCTTTGCTATTGCCTTTCATGATGGTTCATGATGGGCAGGAAGGGGCTCTTCCTGCCTCGGGCTTCCACGCAAGCACGTGGAAGGGCAGAGACCCGGAATAGAATCGTGCTGCCAAATTTAACTTTGCACAACAGAGCTAAATTTTTTGACTAAGTGTTCCTGACTGAATTATTGCCAAGTAAGTTGGCTGAGTTATATTTTTATATTTTATTTTTAGTAGTTTCCCCGTGCATTTCACCCCTGTGGGATTGCACCTACATGAAAATAAATATCATTCAAAACCACTTTTTCACCATATATGCTATGATTTGCAATTAAATCTTAAATTATTGGACTACAGAGCATTTTTACTCACACATTGACTCTTTCTGTATTTTTCTTCCATGCACCTTCTCTGTCTTTAGTTGCCGCAGCAGTGTTGCTCTTTTTGATAAAAATAGATTTATACTCATTGTATGATGTCAATAAAATTTCTAATTCTATCCGCATGAAATATGCGGCTCGATTCTTCTTGTCACCAGTGGCCATGGTTGCGTTGTTACATCGCAGTATCAGTGCTCCATTGATGATGGCTTTTTGTACTGGCTGTGCACCAGCTCAGCCCAAGGTGAAACTACTCAGTTGATTGACCTAATTCATATCAGCTGTTCTGGAACCGGATACTCAATGTTTCCCGTCTCAGGGTAAGTTAACCTCAAACCCACGATTAGACTCAGAGTTTTCTGAACATGTTTATAAAACAGCTTCAGCGCAACCACCGCAGAATTAGGTGATTTAGTCCCCAAAAAGAGAGACACAGCAGTCATCTGGGAGTATTTTTGAAGCTGTAGCACCAGAAACAGGTAGGCCTCTGTGCAAAACCGTGCTAAAGTTGCTACATCAAGCGGAAACACAACCAACTTATTCCAGCACTTGAAAAACCACCACAGACACAGGCATGAGGCGTGCATGACTTAAAAGTCCTATGAAGAATCTAGCAAACATGTAACAGCTAAAACAGCTAAAACCCACAGGATCCGGAATGACTGTGCTCGGATCCAGAACAGCGGGTGGATCAAATACGCAAGCGTTATGATCAATGTGCGTGATTCCACACAATCCGTCCGCCGTCCTGCTCCACTGTGGATCAGGATGACTTGGGATGACTCAATTTTCTTTAAATGTGAAGACTGGCTTCCCATTCACAATTCTTACCTTTAGTTTTCATTCTTGCATCAAAGTAATGGGTTTTTATGTTTTGATTTGTAAATGTTACCATGCACATTGTGAATGGCACACTGCAGCTTGATTTGAAGAAAATCATCAATCGCATTAAAATTGCAATTTCTGCCAGAAAAAAAGTCTTTTTGAATTTTGTGGAAATGATCTGTAAAGTTCTTTCCTCTTTTTGGTTGTCACTTTGTTGTTTAATGTTTAAAGTAACCCCTGTGTGCTTGTGTGTATGTATTGTTTTTTTGTCTGTGTCTTTTGTTTTGTGTATGTTTTGTATGTATGCAAGATCGCACAATTAAAATACAACTGCTGTGCTCCAGGGCTTTTCTTCAAGTCAGTCGTGACGTCTGAGCCTAAGGGTGGGGACATTTGGCAACTCAATCAGGAAGTCCTCCAAAGGGTAGACTGTCCCAATTCACAAAAGTTGATCCACCTACCCAGGGTACTCGAGTGCACAGAAGGGCAGTGCGCTCAGAGGAGTGCACTCAGCTGTATGCAGACCCTGAATTGAGACACAGCCGTTAAACACACAGGGAAATGAGCAACAAGAGGCAGGTGAGACACTGAGACACAAGTGCAGACAATTACTAAGGAGGAAAAAACTGAGAACGTAAAACAAAAGACACACAAGGATGGACTACTACAAAATAAAACAGGAAACACTGAAAACTGGTCAAAAGAATAAAACACGAAGAACATGAGGGAAACAGGGTCAAACACAAACTGAAAACTGATGAGACAGGATAACAGGAACAACAGGGAACAGAAACACTAGGAAAAACACACAGAAAATGCACTTGAATAACAAAACCAAGAAAAATCTAAGTTAACAGAACATATCATGACACCCTTAAAATGAGTTATTGATTCAACCCAAAATTTGGGTTGATGACACAATTTAAACTAAGAAAATAAATAGGCCATGTAAATGTTTGTCATGTTTGGGGTTTTCCTGTCACTTTGCTGAATTCTCATCAGTGACCTAAACATTCATTGTCTACATTGTTTTGTCTAAAAGGTGGTGTTTTTTTTCTCCTTTACTTTATCGATGAAAACTTGAACAAAATTGCCAACTGAAAGTGTGCTAAGGCAACACTTATGATCAGGTTTATGACACTTTATGATGCCAGGCGACAGCAGGAGTTGGTCATTCTATAGTTAACATTTTGAAACTCGGCTTTATGTTAGACAATATACAAGAGTATAATATGCAGATTTTTCTTTAACCTGATGTATTTTGTAATTGCTTGAGAGGGAAATGCGACAGGAGAGAACAATGTAAAAGGCAAGGTATAGCCAACTAAAATAGCCTACTTAATCTAAATCAGAGATGTTTTCAAATTATGGTAAAGAGTTAGGCCATAAAAAATCTGATAGACATGTTAGACATTTTAACAGTTTTTTTTTCAGGACATTTTTGCTCCCCAAAAAATTTGAGTGTTAGTTAAATTGAGATGGACCCGGGATGGTAGTTAATCAAGAAAACCTTGCAAAATAACAGTTTAATCCCAAAACCATATGCAGTTAGACCCAAACAGCGGCATCTGCACAAGCAATGGCAACTCGCGGCAACTTCCAGCATCTGCCGCGACTGCTAGTGGCACCTCGTAGCAACCTTACACATCTGCAGCGGCACCTTTTGATGTGAATGTAAATCACAGAAAGGTCATGTAAGTGTGTAAAAATACATGTGCAAGGTTTGAAGGTGTTCAAAATTCACACTTCAGGTTGTTTTATGTGACAGGGTCTGATCTTATCCACAACGGGTAGAAATATGGGGATTGTAGGTCAAAATAAAGTGTATGAGAAAGGGCCCAAAAGTTTTGAGTGTGTGTGTGTGTGTGTGTGTGTGTGTGTGTGTGTGTGTGTGTGTGTGTGTGTGTGTGTGTGTGTGTGTGTGTGTTTGTGTGTTCACCTTAGAAAAACAGGGGTTGCTTCAGCTGACGTCCTCAGTGATGAAGGTGTGGACATAAAGAGCTGATCATGTAATTCAAAGTACATTAGAAAGATGACTGTGTGTGTATCGGTGTTCTAATAAGCATCCTTGTGTATAAAAGCAGTAGGCTTACCCAGGTCCTCCTTTCACACATACTAGTTTTACTCGTGGTGAAACAACAGATGCCTTATCAACTGAGGAACACTGAAACAACAAACAGGATTGTTTTCACTGTGACACCTCCACCTGTGGACTTCTACTTCACTGTGTATGTGAATGAATGATGTCAAACCAATGAGCCAATTATCAAATGAGGTGTGCAATGAAGACACATATAGTGTTATAAAAGGTAGGCAACAGGACACTTAATTGCTCTTGGCACATATCTCAAAGGTTTGACTTTTTCAAATTTGTTTGCATTTCAGATTATTTTACAGCAGTTAAATAGACTCTAAAGCTCTTCAAATAAACCTGCAAAAGGCCAAGGACACACTGATGCTCCCCTTTTGTATATAGATAATGCATCTGTTAAGAGAGAGACAAAATCAGAACATTGGAGACAGTGTTGGTGAACGAGGCCATTTAATATTTCACCACTTGAATGGAGCATTCAGTTTTTTAAAGTGTAACCATCTGTTCCACATTTTACACAGTCTATAGTTTGATCCACTGGCTCCAAAGTCCCCTGTGATTGTCGGAGGAATTGCAACCTTTGGTCTCTTTCTGCAAAAGTGAGTAAAAGACGGGCAGAAATATGTACAAAATGATGCAGTCTGTATGGCAGATATGAACGAACCTTAAAACATGCCACAAAACCTTCAGCCTAGGTTTGATCATTACATTTTAGTGTTAATAAATCACAGAAAAATTGTTATACAACTCAGAATATTTAGACATGGTTTCCTGAGGTGGACTTTCGTCACAGTTACCTGTCTTTGGTGCTTTATTTTTCTTTTCCCGAAATTTCTCTGTTCAGTCTGCTGTTTTGTGTCCTGCCCCATCCTACTGACACCCACCATCAAATCATCAGTCATATCAGGACCTCTCCACACTTGACTCTGCAGTTTGCATACAGTCCCAATCACTTCACAGACAATGCCTTCGCCACCACCACCCTCCATCTGGCTCTTGCTCAATGGACAAAAGAGAAATATGTCTGAATAGGGCCACTCTCTATGCGGTCACTGAGGTTTAGACTGTGTTAATCAGCAGCATGAGATGTCTTCTACCTTGGAAAGACTCACAAAGAGATGCTAGACAATCATTCAGTATGTTTACATGCACAGTCAGGTTGAGCTACAGTTATAGCTCGATTAGGTGATTTAACTAGACCAGGAGTCGGCAACCCGCGGCTCTGGAGCCGCATGCGGCTCTTTCTTCCCTAAGCTGCGGCTCCCAATGGATTTGGAAAATAAATAATAAATACTTAATTGCATTTTATTTTATTTTATTATTATTATTTTTTGTAATTCTAAATTCAAAGATTGTAATGCTCTTGTTACATTAAATAAACTATTAAGGCTGCAACAACGAATCGATTAAGTAGATTCGTCGTGACGAAAAAATCCGTTGCCAACAAATTCTGTAATCGATTCGTCGGGTCTTTATATATGTCCATGGACACCGGTGTGTAAACATCAGCAGGACGCACAGAAAAGAAACAGCCATGGCCGAGGCAGCGGCTGAGAAAAACATGGACACAACCCAACCCAAATCCCGACCTAAAACATCAGTGGTGTACATCAGTGGTGTGGGAAAACTTCACCAAGACTGAAAAGGAAGGCGTTCAGTGGAACATTTGCAAAGACCGTTTTGCATGGCTCGGGAGTACATCGATGATGCGTGAGCACAGGGCTCTCAAGTCTCACGCATTCAGCGTATGACACACGCATTCCCACTCGTTCACACGCTCACACACCACACATTGTATTTCTCACGCATTTAAATGAACACGGTGATGTCCACCAAGTTGCACTTCTTCAACTATGGAACAGGTGGGAATCAGCTGAGTTTCTCCGAGAGTTCAGAAGCTGCGTGCCACGCACAAGCCAATCAAATAAAGTATATCTACTGAACAGCCAATCAAAAAGCAGCATTGCTGTATCCGGGTAGATTTTGATATCTTGCGGTTTAACTACAGAAGAAGACAGACACTCGCCGAAATAGTTCATTTATTTCATAAATGCAACTCGCTACAGTTTTTAATATACTTTGTATAAAGGTAAAAAAAAAAAGATATATGCAATGTTATCTTCATTTTAGATGTCAAAGAGGTTTTGAGGCTCTCTGTGTTTTCATTTCTGTGGGAAACTGGTCCAAGTGGCTCTTTGAGTGTGTAAGGTTGCCGACCCCTGAACTAGACTACTGTCCTTGTCCCATTTTACAACCACCGCACAAGAATCTAATTATTGACAGAGGCATGTCGGCCTCCACTGGATTGGGTGGCGATTTCCCTTTCAGCACATTGTTACTGGACCATCTCCCAGTTGACCTACTGCATACTAAAACAACTAACAAAAGATGTTAGCATGTGGCTAAGATGAAGTGTGTAGACTGATAAAATCACCTTCACTTTACAGCTAGGGTCAACTTTTTATTTGTACATCATCTCTTTGTCTGTCTCAAGAGCTGTGTCTAAATCCAGGGAATGAAGTTCTCAAAGACTACAATCGAGGACTGCATGCATCACAGTGGTGCATGGAAGGATCCTTCAAATGCATGTGTCTTGATGTGTCCACTATTCCTGGGCCATGAAGGGTGGGCCATCCTTCACAGCCGCACCTATCTCATGATTCTTTGCATGCTAATACAATCAAGATGAGGAGGACCTGCCTTCAGACACAGTGGGCACAGTTGAAACCTCTGTAGGTGCAAGTGCGGTTAGTCTTCTGCTTGGATCTCAGATGTCAAATGAATTAAGGGATCTTACCAGTTTTAAATATTTTAGGATTCTGCTTCTGACCTCCAAAACCTTTCACCTTTCCTTCATACCTTTCCAGCCTCCTTCGCATCAGCACCCCTTTCGCACTCTCAGGTCCTCTTTCTCTTACCACCTCATTTTCCCAACCACCTGTTTGACCACCATAGGCTCCGAAGCCTTTAATTACTCTGCTCCCCGCCTTCCCTCCCACCAGACATCGGTAGCATCAACTATCCTTCCATTTTCAAATCCCGTCTTCAGACCAATCTCTTCAAAAGGGCAAATTCAGTCTGACTGTTTTTTTTTCTTTACTTACTGTTTATTTGTTTGTCATGTTTTAACTTCCTCTTGTCAGGTGACCTTGAGTGCTTTAAAGGTGCATATAGATAAAACTAAATCCATTCCCAGTCAAAAGTGCTCTTTGCAGAGCAGAGGTAAACTTCTAAATGAGCAAAAAATAAATAAATAAATGAATAAATAAAAGCCTTTACTAAAAAATATGATAAAATGAGGTAGAAAGTAATTGGCAGGGCATTGGTGGCATGTAGTGGTGATTTGGTGAACAGCGATAACTATGAGCACTGTTTGGTGTCGGCTGAACCAGACTAATTCCTAAACCCAAACTATGGCCCATTGCTTGCATCCTGTTCATACAGGAAACTTAAATTCAGCTTTTAACACACTTATTTCTCAGCTCCCAACGAAGAAGCTGAACTAGCTGGACCTGTGCTGGTGCTAATAAAACCAGTTCTTCACATTCTCTGGCGCTTTACACAGTCTGTACATCAAGTTTGCTTTCTCCATCTCAGTATTTAGGGAGATTTAATGGAAGTATTTGCCATTTGTTCATCATGCACTGTAAAAAAGCACTGTAAAAAAGCTTTTTATTTGTTTTTGCTGCTGTTTATAGCTCAACTGTATTTGGCATCAATATTCACAAGGTACAAAATGCACTCTCACCATGTGAGGACTGGTCCCCAGTCCTCCAGTTTTGCTCCTCTTTGCCCTCCCCTCTCGGGCTGTCTTCCCCCCTTTATCCACTTTGCCTGAGCGGCGCTGTAGGCTGCTCAGGATCCCTCTCTTCACTTCCTGCATGGGTGGCACCGCGGGAGCTGATCACCTGCTGGAGACCTCACCTGCTGCTAATTCCGGTCTGATTACCTGCCTACAAGAGCCCAGGGAGGAATCTTCTCAGTGCCGGCTGATTGCCTGACTAAGTGGTTCGTTCACTACGTTTGTGCTGGCCTTAAGCCTCTTCTCCCCTCACGGAGATTATCTTGTGCTTCATTTTTTGATGACTGTTGTGGATTCATGCTCGTTTTACCCCTGGACTAACTCCTTCTCTCTTTCTCATTTTTTCCAGGTCTCCACGAGCTCCCGCCACCACCACCATCATTGCTTTGTTCACTTTTTACTCACATGTAAATAAAGATCACTGTTTGTTGAAATCCTGATCTGATTCAGCCTCTGCTCTGGGTCCACCTATTCACAACACTGTTAGAATAATGTACATAAATGTATATAGAAGTTATCATTATTCCTCATATTCTTATGTAAGAGTTTATACTACAAATATAAACTCTTTGACATCTTTTCTATACATTATATTAGAGTATTTTAATCATATAAGAGTTTTCCTAACTTCTCTCTTTTCTTTAGCTTTACTACACAGTACACACAATGTTTTCTTCTGTGTTCTATGACCGTGTTTCCGCTATCAGCAGGTGTGGATGTGGGGGTGACGTATTCTCCGAAAATGAATCGTGGGAACTCCTGAGAAGGATCCATCCTTATCAGAAGGAGCTCGTTTGATGCCGCCTTGACCTTCAGCTATTCACAAATTGTTCTTTATTAAATGCTTACTTTGCAGCACATTTACTCCCACATTTTTAGAAACATTGTGTAACCAGGGACAACTGTAAATAAAAGGGGCGGACAGAGAAAAGTATCCTTAGTGTGGTACTGAGATAGCCAAAACAGATCTCTGTCCATTACTCAAACATATCCATTGTCTTTCTCCTTTTTATTTCAGGTAAATGCAAGCAGGTCTTAAACCTAACAAACACCTAACACACCATATAAAAAGCAAAAGCAATTTCTTTGCTCTTGTTGTTGTGTAGGAGTGGAACGATGAGCAGAGTTGTGTAAAGTTGCAGATAAAGCTACAGTGTATATTTGCATATTAATGTGTTAATTATTTGTGGGCTTGTACATCTCTATGTTACCTTTACATGTTAGCTTAAGAACCTGTCAGCTTGTTCAGACAACCACAACTAACACACCGCTTTTACATCAGACAAAGTTATCGTAAGGTTGCTAATAAACTACCACAGTGATACAAATGTTTTGGCGAAGAGATAATCAGTACTTTGATGCAGAGCTATTCAGGGTTCTCACTCAGGACAGAATCCCACTGTTCAGCAAAACATTTTCTGTGCATCTCTTAAGAAAGAAAAACACTAACAATATACTTACGAATTCTGCCACACACAGGGTACGAGGTAGCCTGGCTGGGCCATCCTGTTGCGTGGATCACTTGCCGTTCCTTCCCGCAACAGTCTGGACTTCGGCCCATTGGGAGCGTTTATTTCCGATCAGAAAATAACCAGGCAAATCGGAGACCATGTTTCCACTGTTACCCGGACAACAAGGAAAGGCAGCCCCTGATTGGTCCATGTGTAGATGGTGACATCTAACATATGCTGCGGGACTTTTCAAAGACCTCCAAAACCTTTTTTTTTTTAACTTTTCAAAGTCAGCAGAAATCGTTTAGATCTGCAGAAGACGTCGGATATAAACGATTTCTGCCGACTTTGCAAAGTCAACTGCAGAATTAATGGCGTTTTGAATGAACGGCGCTTTTGTCAGATCTCCGTTAAACAGTGGTGTGGTGAATAAGCTGCTGTGAAAGCTGTAGGATGGTGAACACGATTGTGACTGTCTGGATGAGAGGAGACAGGTGTGTTAATGAGGAAGACTCTGGTGATGAAGTTTATACCTTTATAATACCAAAGTTACTTAAGATCGCCGCTCTATGTGTGTGCGTAATGTTGTGAAGGATCTTTAGTGTGTGAGCTCTCTTCCTGTAGTGACTGATTGTCACTGGTCGGTTGAAGCAGGACGCCTGTCCTGCTTACTTGGTGTTTGAGTGGCTGGGCCAAAATAGTTGGCTACTTTTGTTGGCACTTGCCGTGCACAGCTGCTTGATGAGGTAGGCTGTAAATTGGTCTTTATTCCAACCGTTTGGGACTCGGCTAAATCTGTTTTATTGTACTAATAGCCAGTGCCAGTGCGCCCCGCCCTGCCAATGAGATCTCAACCCAGAAATTTAAGTCATAGATTACTATACGTTTAATTTTTTTTTAATCAAAATGGCCGATAAAATGTAATTTGCGCAATTTCAGACTCTACAGCTTGCAATTGTTTTATTACTTTCAAGAAAATTGTATCTTTCCACTCCTCTGCAACGGACGGGGCTCTCCGTTCGCCCCTCTCTCTACCTCACAACATACACGCGTGCTGACATGATGAGGCGCGGCATGTCAGCACCACTGATTCTAGTATTCTGGTCACAAGCGCTTGCCGCCCCTACTCTATTAGTTTTGCGCAGCATGATGATAACCAGGGTTCTGGCTCATTTCAGTTGTGTTTGCTGCCAACAAAACACACTTGAATACTTTGTTTTAGCAGCAATCTAAAATGGATCTTACATGTGGGGGTATAATCTGTTTAACTTCATAGTTCTTGAGGGGGAAAAGGTGTTTGTAACAGAGTTTGTGCAAGCAATATAGTAATGACATATTTCTTTATTTCTTTCGTTATTTTTTTGAATATCATATAATGCATATCATGCTGTGGTGATATCATGTTGAGTTTGATATCCCTGCTTCCTTGGTCAGTTATATTCAGGCAATTAAACAACCTCATAAGTATTGTTTCATATTGTCAGTTAATGTCGGGATATTTTCTCTTACGACAGACAAGATGTTTATTTTAAGCTAGTGGTAAAAATATCAACGATGCATCTACCTAGCAGTAAAGATATTAAATATGACTGTTGGATACACTAACAGTGGGTGGAGATATAAGGGTTTTTTTTAACAGTGGGTGGAGGTATGAGTGGCTGAAAAAACCTACTGGAATAATGAAAACAAATGGCACTCGTAAGGGGACAGGTCATGGAACAATGATTTTAATCCTTTTGAAACGAGAGCGCTGTTTGGATAATTCTGTTTAATGTGATCTTAACAGCTGCCAGTGGAAAATATGTGTATTTAATTCTGTTTAATCTGTTATGCCTTAGGAGAAAACTTATTTCCAACATATTTTATTGTATGTGCAGCATATGAGGAATTCACTAGAAATTACCTCATAATAGCCAAAACATAGGTATTGACATAGAGTGCAAAAATAAAAGGCAAATATATAATCTATTGGTCTCTTTAGTGCATGTATGAAGCCTCAAGGTTAGCACATGGTCATTGAAATGTATGGTAAGCCGTCAACAGACCAATAAGTCAGGTAAGGCAAGGGTAGTCCACCAGCTACAACAGAAGTCTTCATCTAAAGTAAATTTGTGAATTGAATAAAAATGTAACCCTGTACAGCTGTAATGAACTTACAGTCTACAGCCAAACGATTGGAACTTGGAGCACCATCTTGTGAATCATAAATCATGACATTATAAAATAATAGTCTGTACATTTTATATTGATCTGAAAATTGAGTCTTCCATTCAAACGTGGAAAAAAGATTTGGATTCAACTGTAATGGGCAGCAAAAATTCACAATATACAGTTTATCAGTTAATCATGCCCCCCAACTTAGGATGCTTTCATTGTCACCTGACCACTGAATGGCACTCTTGAACTCAATGGATTAACGCAGGGAGGACTTTTAACATAAAAATAGGACGTGCTGCAATCAAAGCTGCCAAGACAACCATCAGAGGAGCTCTGTATGGAAGTATTCCGTATTTAACAGGGTTAATAGCTTATAATACCTTAAAATATAGAGATTCTAGGAATATTGAAAATCAGGATTAAGCAGGGCCTCCGGTGAGGGAACAAGTGTCGGCAGACAGGACTCTGAGGCATGAAGCACCTCAGGATCTGTGATGCTGGGCAGCTGAGATCCTGGGGGGCTGGGCAAGTTGCTAGAAGGTTTTTCTGAGCTTTCTTGCTGGGAAACTTACTTAAAGCTATCTGGCCCAGTGCTAGCAAGCCGGATAAGGGTCATCGAGCCACTCAGTTTTATTATAGGCTTTTTTTTTTTTTTTAAATTTCCTCGCAATCTGATTGTAATGCTTGTGTTCAGTGTCCTGTTATTTCCACATTTGTCTTAGATGCATTTTCCAAAGAATTGACAAATGCATACTCTGGCATTGAGGACAGAGCCGAGGTAAGGATTTAGTGACCTGACAGGATGAGGAGCTGGCGTGACGAAGAGCACTGATGAAGACAGTCGTGCACCTACATCCTTGTTTCCATTACTTAGCATGTAGGAGTGACTGTCTTCAAAACACTTCCATGCCGACTCCACCTTTTTCATTTGCCTGTTATTTCTGCACAGACCACAACACAAACACAGCACACCCATATCGAACATGCTTTTCAGTCAACCACAAAACAGCAGCGTGTGTGATTTTTTTCCCTCCCTCTCCATTCTGTTATAAAAGTGTCACCCTGTCCTGTCTCCCCAAGTGCACCATCCACGGTCAACTGCAGGTATGGATGCTTTTCATGATGCTTAATTTAACATGCCTCACATAATATTAAGACCATTATCATACTTGTCAAGGTTTATGGCTTATTGCTATCTAGTGCTTCAAGAAATTATTTCAGCTTGTTTTTTTTCAGTAGAGTATACTCTTTGTAAGGGCTTTACAAAAGATGTCAAAGGTGTTAACATTTTGGCATAAAGATATGCATGGATTTTTTTTTTTTTTTTTTTTGCATTTGTAGTTAAGTTTCAGCTTTAATTGCTTTGATTATTTTATTGTCAAGTATTCATTGAAAAGATTTTACATTTCTAGTTTTTTACTGCATCTATGTGCTCACATTTTTGGGAATAAATTTTCAAAAATCTGAATCAGCATTTTAAATTTTGAGTCACTTCTCAGACCAGCATGCTGAAGTATGACAGAGTGTAAGGGCCACATTCAAAGAAAGTATTTGTAAAAGTTTAGATATTTTTTTTTTTTTGAAAGATTTAAAACATTTTTTCCCAGTTGTTTTCTCCCAGGAATAAGGTCCAGGTAAAATTTTACTCAGAGTTGTTAATGTAGTCCATGATTAACCTCACGGTGCTGTTTTGAGGGGAGGACACATGGCTCAGCTTTTCGCTCAGTCCATTGAAAGTCCTGATAATTATAACAATGTGGAGACAAAATATTAGAGGCAATTTAACCAGATGCTCCATATTCCTTTTTTCTGTACAGAAAGCTGGCTGCTCACTGTAAACCCTAACCTCCACTTTACCACCACTTTATTCTCCTAATATTATGACTTTGTTTTTGTGATAATATGACTTTTATGTGAACAAAACTTGGCCACTTGATTTTGCTCTTGTGCCAAAATGCCTCAGAAAAAATAAATAGTTTAACCTTCCAGTGTATTAGTGTGGCACTAATACACTATCATAAGTTCTATATCAATGCAGTAAAACCAGTTTCATGAAAAATATTTGGAAAAATCTATTGAAACAGGAAAGTTGTTGTAAATCAATATTTTTACAAGAATCAAATTGTGATTTAGTTATGTTTTATACATGATTAAAACTGTAAAGTCATGGTTAAGTCAAAACAAAAGTTCACAGGAAGTTATGATGTTGCAAGAACAATTTCCTGGTAAAGAAGAAATGTAATAAAAGACAACAACGGTGATAATAAAACCCTAATATTCTGAGATTAAAGTTGTAGTAAAGTCATAATTTTATGAGAATAAATTTGTAGTTCAGTTATAGTATTACAAGGATATGGTCACAATATCATGGCAAATAAGTTGCAATGAAGTTATAAAAATGACAAAGTCAAAGAAAAGTTATAATTAAGTTGCCAGAATTCAGTTGTTTTCATACTTTGCTAAATGTTTGACCTTTAACCATTGTCTCTCTCTTTAACTAGCCATGGAGTTAAGGCCTCTCACATTGTGTTTGGCGGTCGCACTTTTTGCAGGTATTCATAAAGTAACACAGCATTATTAAAAGTTTGTACCTCACTTTAACTCTTTTTTTGGTTCATATATTTGTGAAAAAATCTCCTTTCCTCTGCAGTGTGTCACAGCTGCTCTTCAGGAACAGAGTTCATAACAACATTTCTTACAAACTATCAGAAATGTAAAGGTAAAAATCAAAAACTCCACGTTGTTCTGACTGCCTTGGAGGCTGATGCTGATGTCAACATACAGGTAGGATATATGAATTTATATTATTGTGGAGGAAAAATTAGTAGAAAAAATTTACAAAGAACTTACTTTAAACAATAGAAGAGTATGTGCACGAACTGCATGTATCTCATCCAATAATTTGGATTAAATATCTTTCACACAGTAGAAATGAGGGAACAGGTGTGGCATTTTATTGAACCAAAATGTAAAGACAGGTATTTAAATTTTCATAAATGGAAATACAGCCACGTCAGTTTTTGAGTGAACCATATCACAGGTCATCGATGAACTGTGTGGATCGGATTTCATTTTTTTGTGACTGAGATTCTCACAAACAGTTAGCATCTCTGCTCTGTGCTGCTCCGCTCTAATACTGATGGCACTAAATTTAATCCACTTAGTGTATGAGCTGGAGAGCGAGGGAGATAATCCTTACCATTTTTGGTGTTTTACCATGATCTGAGACAGATATACAGTATTTTACTCCAAATGGATAGATCTCAGATCATTTATATGAACATCACAGTTGCATAGGGTTTGCTCCACAATGCAGATAGTGCTTTGTAAATTACACTTTGTATTTGGCAAGGTTTCATGAACCAAGCTTGCACTTTTTACTAAAAAGTGACTGATTATAATTTGAGAGACAGAGCTAGTTTGTACCCCAGGCAGTAAAAGCAAATACTACACCTGGCCTGCACTTGAGGATTTACTGTAGTTAGGTAATGGAAATGCTTGGATTTCACAGGTTAACATCAGTAATACACTGTCAGAAAAAAAGTAACAAGTTTCAATGAATAATCAAACTTCCTCATGTAGCAATCAAGACAACCCTGGATGTGAAACCCACACATTCCTCACAGGAAAGCTTCCTTATCTGGTCCCAGGAAACAGGATATAAATCTTTCCAGACGTGTTTGCCCTTTCAGGTTAAATAAGTGACCCAACAGGAGGTTGACTAAACCTCTGACTCTTCACGATTGGTCAATTCGGAGAACAGAGACAGAGTTTTATTACCTTTCAAACTGACTCCATTTGCTGACCATCTAAATAAACATTAACGTCTCAACCCAGATCTCCCATTTGAGATTTAGTGTCTTAAAGTGTGTGAACATACGGACCCTAGGAAAAGGGGGGACACTGACCTCCAGACCTCGGTCGTAAAACCCTGCTCGACCATACACTGATAAAGACTGCATTCCTTTGGTGAAAGAATACAAATGACTGATCATGACATCTTATGCATTCAGCAATGTACTAATCTGTCTAATCATGAAATTTGTGTTAAAATGAGATGTTTCCCGTTTTTCTATGTGCTTCAGAAGCCAAGTTATCTTATCTGACAGAATAAATCCTTATTCTTTAGTTCTTTAGACCAACAGATTTTCAGACTGTTTCATGAACTTTTAAGAGTTAAATTTATCGACTATGAATCATAACTTAACTCTAGGTAACAGAAACAGTTTAGAAATGTTTGGTTTATATTGTAGATGTTTATTTAGTATTTTTAACCATTAGGTGGTTATAATGTCATTGAATAATCTGAATGTGAGTATTTAGAATCCATTATTAATCATGATGAAGTTCATTCACATGTATTTACTCTTTTGTTGTTCACAGTTTCCATGTGTTACTATCTGTTTCATTTCAGAGTAATTTAGCATGTTTAATGTGATACTTAAAACATAATGAGAATGTTTGATGTGATCCTACACTTCATTCATATGTGTTTAGTGTCAAATTATTTATCATGAAACCAAGCATTCAATGATATTAATCATAGTGAGTGAGTATCAGATCTGACTCTTTTACCAGCCAAAAGTATAAGTTAGATCAAATAATCAGAGATTCCACGACCCCTCCTCTGTCTCACACACACGCCGGAGCCACTCCCAGTGTGAGAAGATAAAACCAGTGAAGTCGGGTTGCTCATTCCTCTTATTCCTCTTATGCCTCTTACTCTCTTATGCTTCTGCTCTTCTGCTGACTCTCTTGTCCCCGGCTCTTATGCCCCTTCTCTTCTGTCCACACCCTTCTGTGGTGCGTTTCTTTGTTTTCTCTTAGAACTTTTTCTTAGTCTTCTAAGTTTTACGCCACGTGTTGATTCACGTTGATTTTTCTTTAACATAGTCTTCGTTCAAGTTTTGAAACTTCAACTTTTTGTGCACATAGCAATTCAAGATTAAGCCTTTGATTGATTTTCTTTAATTACGCGAAGCCATTTTTGAAAGTTTTCTCTGCTCTTCGAGCCTCGTTTTTCTGAGTTTTCTGCGTGATTTCAAAGTCACCTCCGAACGCAATCCAACAGGCCCAGGTCATCCTCTGTGCCAGAGTTTTTGAGTGAGACTAAAGAAGTACCCAAACGAGCATCCACAGGATCCACAGGCGCTGGTTTTTGCTTCGGGCCTGAGTGCTGCAACTCCTGGCTCATCCTTCGGCTGACTTCAGTCGTCTTCTGAGCTGAACCGCTCGAACCGCCAGTAGCCCGGACCTTCGGAACCTGCTCCATCTTCTCCAAGGACCAGTCTCACTTAAGTATGCAAACCTCCAGAGCTCTAAAGAGGGCTGGTGCTGTCTCCTGCGTTCAACTCAGATATCCTCTTATTCTGGTAATCTTAGATTCCTCCAAATCCACATCCGAGTTTATCTCGACACTAAAGTTAGTGTAGGTTAATATGTTAGCGCATATTCACTCACTATCATTAACTTTAGTGCTCCTAGCCTGACTCAGAATCTTGATTTATTCACCTATTATTATTTATCTTCATTATCTTATCATCATTTATTGCATGTGTGTTGTACCATCATTTATCCTGTAATAAACAGATAATTATTTTTCTAAGTTCTGGTCTGTTAGTGTTCTTCCAGAAGTGGAGTCCCTGAAATTAGAATTTCGACTTAAGATATGAGACTGATTAATTAAGACTGATTAATTAAGACTGATTAATTAAAACTGACTTGATGTTTGATTTCTGAATTAAACTTTTGTTTTCTTTATTTTCCCACCATTAAGGGTGGGTGGTGCCCCTTTCAACGAGTGCATAAATGTCATAATTTGAGATTATTAATCTTCAGACATTTATTATAAATTCCAATCGCCAAGTATTATTTTGGTGCGGCCTTGTGAGGCTCATTTCAAATCGCTACATATATTTTGGTGCGACCGTATGAGGCTCATTTCAAATCACTACATATATTTTGATGCCCCTGCGTGAGGCGTTTCAAACAAAACTTCTGGATACTAACAGACAACCTAAAACTTAGCCTTCCAAATTGATGAGAGAAACTTATTTCCAGGCTATCCTAGACTTAATCACAATAAATGCTATGCTTGCTGAAGTTGCTTGACTAAGTTCTGATGTTTTCCTGATCTATGCATAAAACCTTTATGCTCTGTGTTTCACACACTTTTGTACTACATGCCTGTAGTCTGTGTTTGAGCTGGACAGCGTGAAATGTTGTTCTGAGTAGCAGTGAGACTGCTTCTTCTGCTCTGTCTAGACTGTCCAATATTTAAGTGCACGATTGTTGCGTCGCCGTACGCTTGTATTTAAGGCCTTTGGCTGAACCCAGTGTTCGCGATGCTCCGAGCTGTGGTTTCAAGCCCCTGAAGTCTCTGTAGTCTGCTACGAGTTTCTAGTAACTATATGGGATTCAGATTTCCTCCTTTCCCCTGACAGATTAGCTACCTGTCACAGGAAACCACTGTAACAGTGGGAGGTTGTTGTTTGATTGAATTCAGACAAAATTTGTGTTCACAAATCGCCGCATTTGTGATTTTAAAGTCTGCAGTTGAATCTGCTGTTGAGGGATTTGTCACTTTGATTCTTGTCACTATAGTCTGCTATGAAGTTCTAGTAACTATATGGGATTTAGATTTCCTCCTTTCCCCTGACAGATAAGCTAACTGTCACAGGAAACCACTGTAACAGTGGGAGGTTGTTGTTTGAATGAATTCAGATAAAATTTGTGATCACAAATCGCCGCATTTGTGATTTTTAAGTCTGCAGTTGAATCTGCTGTTGAGGGATTTGCCACTTTGATTCTTGTTCCTGTAAATGATTTTATTGAACCAATCTGCCTGAGCAGATGGTGGAAAGTTCTATGTTTGAGGGTGCAGATGCAGCCTGCTGTGAAATGTTAACCCTTTGTTGTCAGTGGAGAGACTGACCATTTGACCTTAAGCAGATAAGGCCCTTCAAGGAGGCAGAGCCTAAAGGCCCCTTCCTGCATACTTCCCAACTTCACACAGCCACAAGAGGCTAGTTGGATGACTGTTTCCTCTTTTCTTCTTCTTCTCCACTTGTGTTGAGCTTGTGCAGTTACCCCAACTCCATACTGCCCCACATGGTTGCTTTTGGTATTGAGCTAACACTGCTATTATCTGTCTGCAGTATCAGCTAGCTGTACTGCCTCTCTGTAGTCAGTGTGTAACACTCTACAGACATAACTCAAGTGATTGACTTGGTTGATGAAGTTTGATGTGCTTATTCTAAATCATTGATCATTGATTTTTGATTTTAATCTTTGTTATAAGAGCCTCCGTAAGGTATTGATGAAGTAACTCCTTGAATCAATCACCTGATCTTGTTGTTACTTATCACACCATTGAGCAGTTTTACTGTTCCCTATAATACATGAATGTATTAACCCTCCTCATAAGATTAATTAATTAATGAACAAATTAATTAATACTTGAAATTTCTTTTAACATTTCAGATGAATTGGGTAGTTGAATCTTTGGCTTTATTGCGATTTGTGAATTAATTTCAGAGTTAATTCCTTAAATTGACAATTTCATTGATTTTTCAAATTCATCCAACTGCAGCAGGCAGTTTATTTAAGCTTTGCTGATCTCTGCAACACAGAGACAAATTGAACCCTTTATTCAATGGTTCTGTATCTGATGTTAAATTTAATTTAACATCATTTCACTTTTTTCAATTTTCATTGAAATGAATTTAACTTTATGGTTTTTTCTCTCCATTAGAGATCTACTCAGATAGGCTCTTTCTCTTTATCAAGCACTGATAAATTAAGTCGATTAACCCACTTAATTTGATATTTTGCTTCTTCCTTTCATTTTAAGTCAACTCAAACTCATCAACCAACCAGCTGCACCTCTTTACCAAAACCAAACATGCCTAACACAAAAGAGTCCAGCCAGGGAGACCCCCTGAGGGACATACACACAGTGTTGGCAAACTTAATTAGTCAGCTGATACCTCAGTACATGACTAAGATTCATAAGGCCAAACCCTCCAATCCGGAGGATGAAATGGCTGACTTACTGGAAACAGCCTTAACCACGACACTTCGTGACAAAGAGCTCACTAGATGCATGTCTGTCATGATGTCTTCTCAGCTTGAGTATAAAGACTACTTGCTGGAATGCGCTTTAGCAAAGATAAAGGCGCAAAAAGACGAAAACAGCGCTCTGAAAAAGACGCTAGAGGAGACTAAGAAGTCTCTAAGTGTTTTAGAAAAACACAGTGCCAGATGTGAAGCGTCAAAGCTTCCCTCACTGATAAGTCATGAAGAAAATCTTGATCTCAAAGACAAGATTGAAAGACTTAATGAAACCCTTTACAAAAAGGAGAAAGAACTTGATGACACGAATAAGCAGCTTGCTAAGACCACAGAGGATCTGATACAGTCAGAATCCCTACTAGAGCAAGCAACAGAAGATGTAAAAACTTTGAAAGCACTGGTCAAAGTGCGTGCTGAAGCTCTTGAAGTTAAGGAGAAGCAAACTTCTACCTTACAGCACCAGCTCCAGATAGCTCAAAGACAGTTAATTCTTTGTCAAGAACGGCAAGAAAAGACAGACAAAGAACTTGAAGATGCCCAAAGAGAGTTACAATGCTCCCTCCAGTCAGGTCGAGCCCAAAGAGAACGCATGGAGCAAACGTTTCTTGAAGAAATGATAGGTGATCAGCCTCCTGAGAGAGCGCCATCACTTCCTTCCAAACCAACTCTTAAGTATCTCTCTCAGCATCATGACAGGACCCTGCTTGACCCTGAGAGGTCATCCTTAAACCAAGAGTCCTACTCTCCTCCTCATGATGGCTTCTTACCATCTCCCTCAGATAGGGATCTTGACAAAATTGCTCGCAACATAGCACGCTTTGAACCTGAGCACCAAGGTGCTACTGACACCTGCACCTACTTGAAAGACATTGACTTTTACCTGAGGAAATTTCCAGGTGCAACCATTGATGACAAGATCTACCTTATTAAGGCAACGTCAAGTCGAGAGGTTAGCAGTTTCCTTGAACGACAGCCTTATCATGTCAGAAATAATTATGACTTGCTCTGCCAAGCATTAATTGAAGAGTTTTCTGATTATTTGACCCAGACAGGCCTTTCTGCTGCTCTGTCTATTAAACAAGGGAGATCAGAACCTCCCCAACAATATTACAACCGCTTACGCGAAGCTTACTTTGGTTTCCGAAATGAACCAGAAATGGAGGAGGACTTGAACTTCAAAACGCTGTTCGTCCAGAACCTCCACCCTACCACCAGTCATCACCTTGGCGTCTTAGCTTGTCCAAACACTTTGACTAGCCGACAGCTTCGTGAACTTGCTGTAAAAGGTTTTGCCAAACAACGACAAACTTTGGCTAAGAAAGCAGAGCCTGTTACTCTGTTGGCTATGGAGACAAAATCACTGCCCATGGAGCTGAACGAAGCTTCAGATTGTGTATTTTCAGGCTCCGATAAGCCTCCAAATGAGTGGTTAACCAGGCCTCCAAAACCTTTTCGACCTCAACACACTCACAAAGGTCAAAGTTACACACCAAGGCCCAGGTCTGACACAGACCAATGCCCGGTAAACTTTGAGACCAACTGTTGTTATTCAGACTCCCGTCACGGTGGGTTTTATCCCAGACAAAGGAAAAACCACCAACACCACCAAAGGGGGTGAATGACTGGCAGAATCAGAGTAAATCACACTCTCAGAAACGACGATCTTATTATCCACCTCAATCGGTTTCATCCACTTTGAAGGTGAATAAACATGACTACTCAGCTAACCACTGAGATTAACACTGTGGAGTCATGAAGGTGTGAGTCCTGCGAAAGCAGAAGCCACCCAGCCAAAGCTAAATGACTCCAATAAGATATCCAAATGCTGTGGTGATACATTGATGACTGCAATCCCAGTTGCTGCTTTCTTTGTTAGCATTTGTCTCTCCTCTGTCAATATAGTCAGCTTGTCAGCTGTCAAATATCCCATGAACAGATTAAAAGCTGAAATTTCTGTCACTAAGACTCAGATTGACAAATTTCAGACTCAACAGCAGATAATTAGTCAAACCGATAAGAGCATCATCCCCAAGTTTAACAGACAAAGTTTAAGAGAAACTCTGTGCAGTAAACTTTTGATGTTTGTGATTCAGGTTGACTATGCTCATACACAGATGGTTAATATGTCTATAGCAGACATTTCTTTTCCACCTAAGTCTTAACCATTTTTGAAACTGAAATTGAACTTTCAGACTTCTCCAGCAAGCATGAAAAACAGCTATAGCTTTAGATCCAGTTAGCATTCAGACTAAAGAGTGCTTTTCTAAATCTCATTAATACTGAAAATTAGGAGATTTTCTTTCACATTAGTCTACCAATAGTTAACTGAGAAAAGTCTAACACCTAGACGATTTTATTTGATAGCTTAATGCATGCTTGATGTTATCTTAAAGCAGATACTAGTGATTCACATAGTGATAATGAGACGCATCAGTCCTATTTGCATACACCTGCTGCTGCTGCTGCTGCTTCATGGTTGTCTACTCGTCGTCCCGATGCTCCATGGACAGGACCACCGTGACGAAGGGGGGACTGTAGCAATCAAGACAACCCTGGATGTGAAACCCACACATTCCTCACAGGAAAGCTTCCTTATCTGGTCCCAGGAAACAGGATATAAATCTTTCCAGACGTGTTTGCCCTTTCAGGTTAAATAAGTGACCCAACAGGAGGTTGACTAAACCTCTGACTCTTCACGATTGGTCAATTCGGAGAACAGAGACAGAGTTTTATTACCTTTCAAACTGACTCCATTTGCTGACCATCTAAATAAACATTAACGTCTCAACCCAGATCTCCCATTTGAGATTTAGTGTCTTAAAGTGTGTGAACATACGGACCCTAGGAAAAGGGGGGACACTGACCTCCAGACCTCGGTCGTAAAACCCTGCTCGACCATACACTGATAAAGACTGCATTCCTTTGGTGAAAGAATACAAATGACTGATCATGACATCTTATGCATTCAGCAATGTACTAATCTGTCTAATCATGAAATTTGTGTTAAAATGAGATGTTTCCCGTTTTTCTATGTGCTTCAGAAGCCAAGTTATCTTATCTGACAGAATAAATCCTTATTCTTTAGTTCTTTAGACCAACAGATTTTCAGACTGTTTCATGAACTTTTAAGAGTTAAATTTATCGACTATGAATCATAACTTAACTCTAGGTAACAGAAACAGTTTAGAAATGTTTGGTTTATATTGTAGATGTTTATTTAGTATTTTTAACCATTAGGTGGTTATAATGTCATTGAATAATCTGAATGTGAGTATTTAGAATCCATTATTAATCATGATGAAGTTCATTCACATGTATTTACTCTTTTGTTGTTCACAGTTTCCATGTGTTACTATCTGTTTCATTTCAGAGTAATTTAGCATGTTTAATGTGATACTTAAAACATAATGAGAATGTTTGATGTGATCCTACACTTCATTCATATGTGTTTAGTGTCAAATTATTTATCATGAAACCAAGCATTCAATGATATTAATCATAGTGAGTGAGTATCAGATCTGACTCTTTTACCAGCCAAAAGTATAAGTTAGATCAAATAATCAGAGATTCCACGACCCCTCCTCTGTCTCACACACACACATCAGAGCCACTCCCAGTGTGAGAAGATAAAACCAGTGAAGTCGGGTTGCTCATTTTTTCTTATGCCTCTTATCTCTCTTATGCTTCTGCTCTTCTGCTGACTCTCTTGTCCCCGGCTCTTATGCCCCTTCTCTTCTGTCCACACCCTTCTGTGGTGCGTTTCTTTGTTTTCTCTTAGAACTTTTTCTTAGTCTTCTAAGTTTTACGCCACGTGTTGATTCACGTTGATTTTTCTTTAACATCGTCTTAGTTCAAGTTTTGAAACTTCAACTTTTTGTGCGCATAGCAATTCAAGATTAAGCCTTTGATTGATTTTCTTTAATTTCGCGAAGCCATTTTTGAAAGTTTTCTCTGCTCTTCGAGCCTCGTTTTTCTGAGTTTTCTGCGTGATTTCAAAGTCACCTCCGAACGCAATCCAACAGGCCCAGGTCATCCTCTGTGCCAGAGTTTTTGAGTGAGACTAAAGAAGTACCCAAACGAGCATCCACAGGATCCACAGGCGCTGGTTTTTGCTTCGGGCCTGAGTGCTGCAACTCCTGGCTCATCCTTCGGCTGACTTCAGTCGTCTTCTGAGCTGAACCGCTCGAACCGCCAGTAGCCCGGACCTTCGGAACCTGCTCCATCTTCTCCAAGGACCAGTCTCACTTAAGTATGCAAACCTCCAGAGCTCTAAAGAGGGCTGGTGCTGTCTCCTGCGTTCAACTCAGATATCCTCTTATTCTGGTAATCTTAGATTCCTCCAAATCCACATCCGAGTTTATCTCGACACTAAAGTTAGTGTAGGTTAATATGTTAGCGCATATTCACTCACTATCATTAACTTTAGTGCTCCTAGCCTGACTCAGAATCTTGATTTATTCACCTATTATTATTTATCTTCATTATCTTATCATCATTTATTGCATGTGTGTTGTACCATCATTTATCCTGTAATAAACAGATAATTATTTTTCTAAGTTCTGGTCTGTTAGTGTTCTTCCAGAAGTGGAGTCCCTGAAATTAGAATTTCGACTTAAGATATGAGACTGATTAATTAAGACTGATTAATTAAGACTGATTAATTAAAACTGACTTGATGTTTGATTTCTGAATTAAACTTTTGTTTTCTTTATTTTCCCACCATTAAGGGTGGGTGGTGCCCCTTTCAACGAGTGCATAAATGTCATAATTTGAGATTATTAATCTTCAGACATTTATTATAAATTCCAATCGCCAAGTATTATTTTGGTGCGGCCTTGTGAGGCTCATTTCAAATCGCTACATATATTTTGGTGCGACCGTATGAGGCTCATTTCAAATCACTACACTCATATGGTAAGTTTTTGAGGTTTTCACTATTTTTATTTTCCCCATTGAGAAGATGAACAGAGATGAGCACAGGAAGTCAGAAGTTTAAATCCATTAGCTGTGAGTCTGGTCATAAAGACGTTGACTTAGTTAGGTTTATCTGGTCATTTTTGTTTAACTTTTGAAATTAACAGTACGGTTTAACACCCAGCTGCCAGATAAAAGTCCCCAGGTCTGCTCCCCTTTCCACTACAACGGAGAAGGTCCCCATGATCCAAGTCAAGATAGACTTAATCCAAACACGTTACAGTACATCAGTGAAGATCCACAGATTACTTCACATCTCTAAAGCCTTATGCTTCTGTGTACTGACTGCACCAAATTTAGTGTAATATGATCCATCTTGTTTGGTATTCGAGAGAGCTCCAATAGACAGTTTATTGCATTTGAGCAGAGCAATAATATCCCCTGAGATTTAGCAACGACAGGCCCCCACCCTGTTTGCCAGTTTGCAACATCTACAGTTTTCCTCTTGGTCTAGTTCCTTTCTGCCAGGATGAGCTTGGACAGCTGTTGGACATTCAAGCGCTGAATTGGGACTGAGATTTTAACTGGAAAGGATAGAGTAGTGTAACAGCCTTGGCACAAATTCATTATGTTTTAATGTGTTTATAAGTGATGTGTTGGCTAATTAAAAAGGGGAGATCATTTTTTATTAAAGAAGATCCTCACACATGCACAAACACACAAGTGGAACAAAACAAGTTTGAAGTTGAGACACACCTCATCATGGTGGGAGCTTTAATTGTATTGAGGATTTGAGCTCAAACTCTTGGCCAGTATGACATTCCCAAATGAAAGAAAATGTACCCTGTATGTTGCTTTAAAATCCTCTCACTGATTTGCAGGTGGCTTCACTGAGCTTCTCCAAGACATTGACCGTCCGTGCTGGTAAAACAAAATGGTTGTCTCTGCCAAAGGGTGCTGAGCTGAAGAAACAATTCATCAACTCAGGTGCTGCGGTTCGAATTTCATCTAGTGCCAAAATCACGGCGGTCACCTTCAACCGCCGTGCCGCCACTGGTGAGGGTGCTGCGGTTTCCCCGTTAGAACACCTGGGCACAAATCACATTTTGTACGTACCCTCAGACAAGACAATATATGATGGGCTGGTCGCTATTGTAAATGGTGACAGCGAGAACGAAATCACCATTGTACCGCCCAGAGATGTAAAGCTCAGAGGGATGATAACGTGGAACCAAGGGGAGGAAGTGAGGTTTACCATGAAGCCCTTCGATACCTACCTCATAAAAGCCCGTTCGTGTATGACTGGCACCCAGATCACATCCCAGAAACCTGTAGCTGTCCTAACAGGTCACCAGTGTCTGAAGATTGGTGGCAAATGTGACCATGTATACGAACAGCTTCCTCCTGTGTTCAGAATGGGAAAAGAGTACATCATACCCTCTGTCGGCAGGCCCAAGGCTAAAACCTGGGGGTTGATAGTGGCAAGTGAAGACAACACTGTGTTGACACTGAGCAACGGCTGTAAAGAAAAAAACAGGTTTGAAAAAAATCTAACATTTTTTGTGCAATCTAAATTTATCTGTAATGAAAAGTGTTATCATCATTATTATTATTATTTGTAAAGGTTTGTTTACTTCTGATTTCATCCTCTCAGTCAGACTAAGTGGAGGAACAGCCTGTCAAACTGCAAACAGGAGCATTATTAAAACAAATAAATGTGTGCTTAAATAAGGGTCAAAAAGACTCAAAATAAAAGATCAATTCAGAGTCCTCAGGCAGATAAATACCTTGACACTTGGTCAGACTTCAGAGTGGTGTTTGATGGTGAAAGTGAAATAATAAGGACACCAATTCAGCATATTTAAAAAATCTAACCCAACTTTTGAATGGAGTGTATGCAAATACATCCATAGAGAGGAAGAAAACACAAAGCGCTGAAAGTACTGTGAAGCAGAGGTAGTGTTCAGCCTGAAAGCAACTAGACCTGATAATCCTGACAAAGAGAAGCAGGCTGTCTTTTCAATCACTGTTATGTATAGAAGTTCAATAATTCGTCACTATGAATTGCATTTTTGATTGTATTGTTTGAAATGCTTTCTCAGTTCTATTATGATTACTCTCTTGTAAATGAAACTGAATTTGCACAGTTGCAATGAGATCCAGTTTGTTGCGTTTTTATTAAATCCGGATTATTCTCTGATGTACAAGGATTAGTAAATGCACCATATGACAGAGGGGCATATCTTTCTTTTTTGGAGAAATTGCGCTATTACAAAACTACTCATATTAATTTTCCACCAGCAAAACTAGTTCAGAAACTTCACAGAAGCTGTTTAGGAACTGAAACATTTCCCTGTTGTCTTGTCATACCTTGAATGTTTATCTTTCATATCTGTCAAGTCATCTAACACCTCAGAGGGGGTGACACCATAGACTGTATGGGTGACACACATACATGATTCTGTTGCAATATATATCAACACTCTTATCCAACTTGTTCAGAGGTACCTGATGTATGGTTTTATACATTAACTCTAAATTAAGCTGTAATGTAAGTCTATTAGTGTATCCTAATGTCAACTCTTCCCACAAATATAAAATCCAATCCATGTTCCAACAGGCCTCTACAAACCGCTGGGCAAACTCTGGTCGTGGTGGTCTGCCACAAACGTCCTCTGATCGTAAAGAGTAACAAGAAGGTGATGGTTCTGCTCCTAAGCAACAACAAACCACACGACCCCTTCCTGATCGCTCTAACCCCAACCTTCCAGATGTCCACTGATTGGGCAGTGGAGACAGTAGGCGGCCTCAAAAACAAACTCTCCATCATAGCAGAGAGAAAGGGGGCAAAAAGTGTCAAGGTGTGCGCAGGGCGAAAATGTCGCAAACGTCTGAACTGGAAAAAACTTGGCTCAAAGTGGGTGTGGTTAAATGTGGGGATAGGGAAAAAGCAAAAGCATGTGACTGTGCAGGGTAATGCACTGATGGCAGTCTACACCTATGGAGGAAAAAGAAAGCTGGGATATGGCACCGCTGGAGTCTGTGGAGGTAAACACACACACATACAGACACATACATGAACTTATTGAAACTGCAGAGATATCTCTTTCAGATTCTTTCAAAGAGATGAGCAAAACCTGATTAGATTTCCATTTTTTTTCAAAGTACATCTTTATTTCATGCCAGGAAAAATGACTAAAAACAAAATGGAAATGACTGAAAATAAAACCGATTCATGGACAATTAAGTCAAAATTTTAAGAGTAATGTTGGGCAAGTTACTGACAATTAGTGACTAGATACAACTGAAGTGCACTCTAGAAGTAGATTTATGACTGAACCAGTTCAAGCCTGTCAAAGATATCAGTAAGCTGGTAAATATTTTATTTCAGCAACCCTGAACAGTAGGTAGCCTGGAAGTTAAATAACCAAAGTGTTTTATTTAAACCCCTGGTACCTACAGGGCAGGGTTTATTTGAACAAGTTAAGACACAAATGCTAGAGGGAGTCAGGGCCCGGGAAATTTTGAGACTCAAACACTTAATTCCTGTATTCTGGTATATATTATGCAACATTAATTAGCAAAAATTTAACACAAAAATTATGAATGCATATTCATCAAAATCTGGATTATACTTCCTGCATAAAGATCACATTCAAGTACCCCATGAGTATGAAAATTTTGCACTAGTTCAGTTGGCAATATACATGACCAGAATTACTGTAAATACAAGCTTTGCACACACATCACTATAAGATTGTATACACCAATAACTATGCCCTGTGGCAAGGGCCACCCTGCAAACCTACATTTATTCGCACTTTGCAAGCACACGTGGGATACAACAATTCAAAATACAATAAAAGGTGCAATGTCAATTATTAGGTGGGATATTTAGGATTAGTGCTGAGTGTTAGACAGTCAAGAGTGGAAGTTTAAACTCACCCACTTTTACTTTTCCTGCAGCTTCCCCTCCCCCACCGCTGCCCGACGATCCTTGCGAGGAGATACAATGTGGAGCAAGAGAGCGTTGTGTGAACGGAGCTTGTGTCCCTACTTCCACGGCAACATGCCATGCCAAGGGTGACCCCCACTACTATACCCTTGATGGCAGATGTTATAACTTCCAAGTAAGATCAACCAAGCAGAAGCATTCATGCCCCTTTCATTAAACAAAAACTACACTAACTGAATGATAAAATCGAAAAGATCTCCATTGTCCAGTCCAGGGTTGGCAACAAATTCTACAGCGGGTTAATGCAACCAATAAAACAGGCGAACTTAGTCTACAGAAGAGGCACAGTTTTTACCAAAACCAGATGTTTGTCAAACAACCACACTCACACACTGTAATAGTCAAGAGTTCATGGTATGTTTGTTGTTGGTGTTGAGCCACAAGGACCCGCAAAGACTACATGACCATACCAGGTCACTACTTTCTCAGGTCACAGAGAGCCAGGAATCTGGCAAAAAAATAACAAACGTGTCCTTGTTCAAAAAATATCATCTGAACTGAGGTCCCAAACAACATGTTGCTTCATCTCATGGTTTAGACGAATCTGTCCATTGGCAAGACGATTCTGGTGATTGGATGATTACTATAAATTGTAAATGAACAATTAATTAGCAAGAAGCAAAAACAAAAAAATGCTAACTGCTGATTAACTACTTAGGTCCAAGAATAAATTAGTGAGATGCTAGGATCAATAAAGTCCTTCTTCCTCTTCTTCTTCTTCTTCTTCTAGCCAGGTCTACCAAGCAGAATCTATCGTAGACTAGCACAGATGACACACATCAATCCAGTCCTGAGTTCAGCAGTCTATCAGTCGGTTTATTTTTGTTTTTTTAATCATAGTTCTAGTTTCATTTAAACATAATCCCATAAAAGTAAGAGATGTGGTATTTGCTTGTCATGATCTGCTTTTACGGTTAAAGCTCACCCTTTCAGGTGTTGTGAAAAGAGCTGCAAGATGATTTTTCATGACTGATATGATTTCTTTCAGGGTACCTGTACTTACATTATGGCCACAGTTGCAAACCCAGCGCCCGACCTTATCCCTTTCACTGTGTTGACCAAGAATGCCCACAGAGGGAACCAACGAGTTTCCTTTGTGAAGACTGTGACTGTTATTGTTTACGGGCAGACAATCATCATCAGCAGACAAAAAGGACGAGTGCAGGTAACACATTTATTCACTCTGACAAGTGATAATTATAGTACCCAAAGCAAAGAAAAAAAGAAATCATGGTTCAGCACATGGATATTTTTGTTGTAAGCTGGCGATGTTTACTGTTGGTCATGTGCATTGTGAGTCATGTCCACAGTCAGCAATTTACAGCAATGTTCATTTGATGCCATGCTTACAGATGGAAAGTTTTTGGTTCTCATGTTAGTTTTTAGCCATGTTTAGTGTTGACAATATATATTATGGGACATGTTCACTGTCAGACATTTCCGTGTAAGGACATGTTAGTTGTAGGACGTGTGAAATATAAGTAATATTTGTAGTAGGAGTTGTTTTTATTTTGAAATTTGTGTGAGAGAACATGTTAAATGTGGCCCATATTTATCGTTGCCTCATTCACTGTTGGTCATATTTATCTTTGTTTTTGTCTCGCAGTTTGTCATGTTAGTTCTTGGCAGTGTGTATAGGGTTCCATGGTTACTGCTGGCTGTGTAAACAGTCAAGTCAAGTCAAGTCAAGTTTATTTGTATAGCACATTTCAGCAGCAGGGCAATTCAAGGTGCTTTTGCAGTCAGCCTTCAATCTTTTAAAATATGTTCATCAAAGCACTTTTTTTGCAATGGTCATATTAGTTGTAACTGTATTACTGTTGTATTACTGTTGGTCATGTTTACTGTTTGCCATGTTAAGAGTCAACCATGTCTATCATTGCACCTTGTGTGTTACAGACTTCACCCTTGGTGGCCAGATGGACTGTAGGATTTCAATATAGCTATAAAAGATTTAGTCCTTGTTCAACTTTAATTACTTCCTCTTTGTATGTTACTTTTGCTTCAACATATGAGATTAAATAATTACTTAAAAGAGTTAATCATTTAATTTTGTTTTACAGCTATAATCAAGTTTTGACATAGATCAAAGAAAAATTAACAAACTTGCAGGCAGCTCTTTTGAGTAAATATTCTTGTGTTACCTTCAGGTGAATGGAGTGATGCGGTGCCTGCCTTTCAATCTGCTGGGTGGGAAGATCAAATTGAGACAGGCTGGGTGCTATGCTGTCCTCACCACTGATTTTGGCCTTATTGTAAAGTTTGACTGGAACATGAGGCTGATAATTACAGTACCATCATCATACTTTGAGCACATGGGTGGATTGTGTGGAAACTACAATGGAGACAGAAAAGACGACCTGCCACACCCCACATGTAAGGAGAAGACAGTAAACAAAACAGTCAAATAAAACAAGTTGTTTAACACAAACAAACTCTTATTTAAATGGATGTAAATTTCACATTTCACATGAATGATTAGGTATTTTATTTGTAAGTTATAAAATTAAACACTGCCAGAACTCGTCAGGTGCATGATTTTAGCCAAAATTGTCCTTGTTTTTGACTTTGGGTCACTGAAATACTTTTGATTGTTTTTTTTTCTCTTACAGCCAAAAGTTTACCTGTTGTTCTGGAGATGATAAAGCACTGGAAGGTGGACGATCCAGACCTGTTCTGTAATGATAACTGTGGTGGGAGCTGTCCTGAGTGTTCAATAGAGCTGCAGAATCATTACAGAAAGCTCCACCTCTGTGGCCTGATATCCAAACCGGATGGACCGTTTGCAGCCTGCCACAGCGCAGTCCACCTCTCTGCATTTGTAAATGACTGTGTCTACGACCTCTGTGTCTATGGAGGTACAAATTTAATTGAAAGTCTCAAAATGTAAGGTATTTGGGATTCTGGTGTGACATTTTGCAAACATTGGTAAAATGTTGAATTGGTGCAGAGGATTCTTTCTGCTACTGGCTTCTTGTATAAAAGTAAACTATGTCTCCTATGACTTGATGAGAAATAATAAAAGACTTTGTGGTTCAGAATCCACCACCAAGGTGGAAACCTTTGTGTAAGGATGAAGTGAGGAGAAAAGACAAAACAGTCAGCAAGAGACTGATGAACTGAACTAAAAGTGGACTCAGAATCCCAAGACACACAAAAAACATACGTTTACATAGTTATTGATAATTCATGCTGTGGATCAGATTAAAGAGCAGAAAAGGCCCTGGAGGTTATTGGGTGCAGTGGTGAGGGGAGGCTGTGGTTAGTAAATTATTAATCATTTGATTTTGATTTTTTGCAAACATCATCTCATTTAAGACCCCACTATACAATTTTTATTTTTTTTTCTCTTAAAAAGCTATAAAAAGTTTAGATTAAAATGTGTTCATGTGGTAACCATGTAATGGTAACACCCAAAAAGGCCAGTAGGGGGCGCATGGTCCCTGTGATGAGCGGAATAACCACAGACTGTATGTAGATTCTATGGTAATAACCGTTGAAGGCAACTGCAGAAACAGTCAGCGGAGTTAAACACAAACTAAACTGCAATGCGTATTTATTTTGAAATACAGACGGGTTAATAGTCCTCCAATGCAAATGTACATACTCCTGTATGAGGGTTAGGAGTGTTGTGAACCTTGTCAGTAAAAAATATTGTGTTGAGTAAAGTAGTTTTGCAGTCATGAGTGTTTTAAGATGATAGGTGGAACAAGTAGCGTGCTAAGCTAGAGCACCTGTTGCTAATTCTTATGGCCACATTACAGTTACTGAATCAACTTTAAGACAGTTAATTCATGTATTAACATTCTGTTCTTGGTTAAAGCTTATTTCTTTTAAATGAGAAAAGTGACATAAACAGTTGGCTTTACATATTTGTCTAAACTGAGATTTGTTTTTCTGGCAGTTGAGGGGCCAAAGGGAATAGCTGTTGTACATTTATGGTTAATATCCATGCAAAGGTTCAAGTTTAGTCCAAGCTAAACGCAAGCCTAACTGCATCGCCTTTTTTGGTAGCACTTGAAGAGGAAAAAGACTGACATCATGCTGTGAGAATCATGACATGAAACTTGTTATTGATATGAATAAGGCTTATGAAGTGTCATTTGGTAAATTATGACCACAGCTGTCCAGCTTGGTGTCATCTTTACATGTGTCCCCTAAAGTTTTATTAGTTTCTTAGTTTAGGGTTACAATGAGAATCCTGATCCACAATATTTATTGAAATGGAACTGATTTTAAAACCGAGAGATGGCCTGGGCACCAGGGACATACGCTTTTTTTTTTCCATCCATTTTTCAGTCTAGGTCTGTTGCATTAGGGATACTTTGTTTTTTTAGGATTTGAGAATCTTTTAGCAAAAGTAGTTATTTATGGAGACATTCATGTGTTTCTGTTTGTGTTTTTCTTTCTGTCCAGGTGCCAAACCAGTCCTCTGCGATAACCTGAAGACTTACGCAGACTCCTGTTTGTCAGAGGGAGTCCAACTTAGTGCAGAGTGGAGAGAAGTGTCTGGATGCAGTAAGTTACTCAGAGAAGTATCAATCCATGAAACACTAAATCTGTAATCTGTTGATTTTTTTTGTTTTTCCATCAATTGTACAATTCTCTTTCTCTCTCCCTCTCTCTCTTTTCTCTCACTCACTCACTCTCTCTCTCTCTCTCCCTCCCTCCCTCCCCTCTGCAGTTCCAGACTGTCCAGCAGGAAGTCACTATGAAGCCTGTGGTACAGCATGCCCCGCCTACTGCTCCACTCTGGACAGTGAGACCGAATGCAACGAGCCGTGTGTGGAGGGATGTCAGTGTGATGAGGGATACGTGCTCAGCGGAGAAAAGTAACTCACCAATAATGCTGCTCATGCTAATAATCAGAAAGTTAACTGATTTTTGATAAAACAAAAGCTCCAGGTGAACAAACCGTACAGTAGGCTGCGGACAGTAAATATGATCCCTGTCCTCATTACAGGATGTGCGTCCATTATGTGACAAATGTCATTTTGTCAGACCTTAGGACAGTTTTTCACTTGGTCTCCTTTTTGCATGGAACAGTTTTAACCTGTATTTGTGGATGCAGAACGAAACTGTATTGGAAGTGATTTTTAACCCATGCAGGCATTTCCACTCCAGAGTCCTGTCTGTTTTTAATGGAGTGCTATCTGAGGGCTCTAAGATCTGGGTCATCCAATATTGTGTTTGGTCCTTGTCCTTTTTGTACAGAGATTTCTCCAGATTATCTGGATCTCTATGGAGTGCTAACAACAAGAGGACAAACACATTGTGGAAAAAAATATAAATCAAGACAACAGTGCTCATAAAATAAAGCAGACTCTGATGAATAAATATGATTGAAATATAACAGAACAACTGACATGGAGCCAATCAAACACACTGAGATAAAATACACTAGATTATCTAAAAGAAATTGGGTCTTTAAAGGTTAAAATCACTCAACAGATTCTCATCTTTTATGGCAGAGAACTACAGAGCCTGAGAGCAAAAACAATAGAGACGTTTTAAAACATTTACAACTGAGGAGTGGTTTCACCAGGAGCTATATCAGAAATGTAAACAGGGGCCAAACTATGAACTTTAACTCTTAAGTTAAAGTTGGTAGCAAGGGCAGTCACACTAAGGGCCAATCCAAATGGTCACTCTTATTCCTTCCCCTTCATCTTACCCCTTTGTCTACCCCCTGGGTGAAAACATGCCCCTCAGTTTCCACTAGGTCATGATGCCTTTCCACTTGCAGTGAATTTGTCATCTGACATCAGTGTAGCCCTCAATAGCTATAGCTTCGTCAACCTCAAGATCATCATAACTTGCGATTTTAAAACTTAAACAATTCAAAACATAGCTAATATTTATGTGGAGTAGCAAAGGATTAAATACCTGATAAAGTACGTAAGTGTCATTACAATAAAAATCATATCAAAATCTTACCCCTTGCTTTCAAGTGAGGTCCCGGTTTGTCTTTGTTTCAAGGGCTGTGTACCCCTTGCCACTTAGCCCTTCCCCATAAGATTAAGGAGAATTGGGACACCCCTTCACTTGAAGTGAATACACAAAACCAAGGGCTAAGGGGAAAGACAAGGGCTAAGGGGTACAATTGGGATTGACCCTAAGATTGTAGTAGTGTGACATCTACCATTGGTGTTAGTTTAGACTCTGGTCTTTTGTTGTGTTTTTAGCCGCTGATCAGCTGTGAACTGGTGAAATGATAAGAAAATTGTTACAATAATGAAAGGATCTTTTTTTTTTGTACCATAAAATTATGAAAAGGAGAAAAACATAACACATGTAAGCTTCCTATCTTTAGCATTAGCTCATAGGGGAAAAAATCACCTTATGAATGTGGTGCAATATCAAGATAACCTGTGGAATGAGATCTTGCTGCTTTTTCTCTGGTCCAGGTGTGTTCCTAAGTCTCAGTGTGGATGTGACTATCAGGACAATTATTACCCATCAGGGACCACGTTTTGGGAGGATGAGACCTGCACCTCCAGGTGTAAATGCGAGAACGGGACAGTCGAGGTTAGTATGAGTGAATCAATGTGTGGTATATGTAGTTTGGTCTGTGAGAGACATACCTGTTTGTAAAATCAGAATATTTATCAATAGATAAATGTATATTTATCAATTAAAAATAACACACGCTGCTGCATCCCAGAGTTGACTGATCTTTTCTGCTCTCATCTGTTTCCCTGTGATTCTTCTATCTGCCCCATTCTTCATATAGTGTGAAACAACCAGCTGTGCAAATGATGAGCATTGTGCTCTTAGGGAGGGAATCAGAGACTGCTACCCAGCAAGCTTTGGATTATGCAAATGCACTGGAGACCCCCACTGCACTGGTTTGGACGGGAGGCGCTTTCATTTCCAGGGAACATGCACCTACATCCTGTCCCAGCTGGTCATGGGCCCCCAGCAACTTTTGGAACCGTTCCAGATTCAGGTCACCAATGAGAACAGAGGACGAAATAAGAGGGTGTCCTGGACCAAGTCTGTGTTTCTTACCGTGTTCGGAGGCTTCACTATTGGCATGAGCAACACCAACAATGGAAAGATAATGGTATGGTAATTCTGCTACCTACTTTAGTTTGTTCTTGAATCTATCACAACACCTATTCCACCAAAAAACAGATCTGAAATGAGAGATGAGGGTGAGTATGAAGATCAAACTGGAATAACAAACAGGACATGCTGCTCTCCCTGAATAACTTTGACACATCATTTGAATAAAGCCACTTAATTCATCAGGAAAACAATAAACCTGATTCTCCAGAGGAAAAGTGTGAAATAAATCATGATGTTGTCCCCTCCTCAGGTGAATGGCAGGTTGACTAATCTGCCATACAACACTGAAGATGGAAATGTCAGAGCTTTCAGAAAGGGACGGTTTGGTGTTGTGAAAACATCTTTTGGTTTGATGGTCAAATTCGACTGGCGTGCCAATGTCCAAATGAGTCTGCCAAGTACATACACTGGACAAACTAATGGTAAGTCTGATGTGACTCTGCTAGTTATCAAATTGTACAGAGCTGTTATTTCAACAAGAAGCTTTTATTTCATCAATCTCAATTTTCAGATTCTACTTAAAAGAAAGGGATCCAGGTTTTAGGATGGGAAGTGTTCTGGTTTCTTTTGCTCGTAAGTCTGTTGTCTGAGTAGTGTCGACCAATCAGGTATCAGCAGGTTTCAGTGTCTGCTGAAAAAACAGTCTGTATGGAAAGCAATAGTAAGTAAAATGTATTTAGTTTAGTACCTTCATAGAAAAGATTTACAAAGTATACAAACATAAACATCAAAATTAAATCATTGAATGGTAACGAACAAAGCATAATTCAAACATTAGTTTGAACAAGGTGAGATAAGGGCCCGTTTAAATGAACGAGTCTTAAAGGGCTTTTTGAAGAGTGACCACAGAGTCAGCTGAACTAATTGGGCTGAACTCTTGTTTGTAGACAGGCTTGAGAGACAACGAGCCTTGGTCTGAGGACCTGAGTGACCTACTAGGAATGTAGGGGTGGAGCAGGTCAGCAAAATATTCAGGAGCCTGACCATGCCGAGCTCCATACACAAAACAAGAACCTTGAAATTAATCCTAAATTTGACCGGCAGCCAATGTAGGGAACATAGAGTCTGGGTGATGTGAGTTTTCCAACTGGGCTTGGTCAACAGTCTTGCGGCTGCTTTCAGGATAAATTGCAGGCAATGAAGGGATGACTTACTGAGGCAGGTGAGAAGTGAATTATCAGACGGAAGTATTTCATTTTGTCTGACTGCTGTGGTTGTTCTCTGTTTCAGGCTTGTGTGGAAACTTTGATGGCAACACTGAAAATGACTTCCTGAAACCTGATGGTACCCTGGCTGACAATGTTAATGAATTTGGTGGCAGCTGGCAGGTTTGTATTAATTTGGACTCAAAGATTTCATGGACCCAAAGCATCTGTCACAAACTGAGACTTTATCAATTAATTTATATTATAACTTTAAAGTTATTAGTATGTGATATAGTTACTATTTCAGGATATTTCAAGCTGAGCCAGTAAGTCGTCATTTTTGGGAAAAACGGACAGTAAATGACTGTATGACTTATAAAACACGTGACAACAGTTGCTGAGGTTTTCAGCCGCCTATGAGCTGCTTTTAAAGTGCTCGTGCCTGCTGACTTACCCTTTAAAACCACAATAATAAACAACCTCTGTGCACTATAATGTGCTCTGTTTGTGAAGGTAATAGCCTCTGATAATTCTGATATGCCGGTATGATTGGTCACAGGTTGGTGGAGAAGCCGGCTGCACCAATAACCCTGACCCTGTGTGTGAACCTGCACTGATGTTAGTGTATGAGAAGAAGCCCTACTGTGGCATCATCTCTGACAAGGAAGGACCATTCGGGTAAGTACTTCTCTTGTGGTTCTACCAAAACGGATGTAGGGGTTAATCCAAGCAGAAATAGAGAGAAATTGGTGAAGAAAAACACAAAAATTTAGAATGGGAGTTAAACTTCTTATCTCACTCCCAACATGTTACATGTTGGATTTTTGCAGTTTTAATTTAAGTTAGATCAATATGGGGTTCCAGATTTTTTCATTAACCACTACACTATTGTTTATTTTATTTATCTCTTTGTTGGAAACATTGGTATAACATTGGTGCTGTAACATGGAACCATGAGCTTTAAGAAGCACTGCACTTCTACTTGTAGTAAGATGCCAATTTGCAGCACCCGTCCACTAGAGGCTTTTGTAAATTTGTGAAAAATAGTGACACCAAGAATATCCCGGTATTGATATCAGATACCGGTCCAATATCAGCAACAAAATGAATAACGGTTTAATCGGCCTGCATCTAAAATCTCCAATATCAGCAATCTGATACCAAGCAGACGCCAGACTCTGCTCTGGTACCTCTATCTTGCAGCGCCCGGATCTAGCAGGTAGAGCCCACATAATCACAACAACAGTGTGTACTAAGATACTGACAAAGTAACAAGGAGTAGGAGTGATGTCGGCTGTGTCGCAGTATTTTTTGTTTAAGTCCAAAAAAGATGTTGCAGCTGAGTGCAAAACTTTTCACGCACAGTTTTGTGCCAATATCGGCTCAATAATGGGATTGACCAACACTGAAGGCTACAATATCGCTTTCGTATCAGAAGTAAAAAAGTTGAATCAGGACACCCCTAAATAATATTAGAGTTAGGAATACCATACAGTTATAATGCCGGGCTGATAAAAATGTAGAGGGCTGTATACAGTAAAATGTAAAGCACATTTATGTTTAAGCTGTCATAAAATACATTATTATAAAACACTGCTGTCTATGGGAAAGAAGAAGCACTGGCATTTTCTTGATTCACTTGGTCAAGCCTTCCCCCACCCCCCACCAAAAAGCAAAAATAAAAATAAGGGTGAGAGTGCACAGCACAGCTCTATGCAACAGGGAGAGGAGATGCTGACAGCTGCTGTCCTTAACTGGACTCAAAACTGCAGGATGAGCTGCAGAGTTTAATGTGCATGTTTGAGCTTGATCGTCACTGGTAGCAGCAGACAGATTTTCAGCTTAGGCTCAGTATTGAGGTCCTGGTTCAGTAGTTGGCTGATTATCTGCAGCCGCTCTCCATTTCACAGACGGTAAAAACTATCGCTGAAGTGTATTTTCCTCTAGGTCTGTTTTCTTGCACCTGTCTCTTGATGTTGAACATTTCAGTTCTAATTAAACATTAACTGAAAGAGTTTAAACAAAGTTTGTGTTAAAGTTTATGATATTATCTAAATGCAAAATTTTTATTATCACTGTAATTGTATATTGGTCCCAAATATCCGTTCCATTAGATATCTGTATGGGTCCCATATTGAAAAATCAACAGCTGCAGCAAGGACTGTAGCCTCTAGATACCGGGGTGCTAAACCTGTAGGCTGTCAGTACCCTGCTGCATTCATTTGTTTATTAACAATCTCATTTAGACTAATTTCAAGTAGTCAAAAAGTGCAGAAATATTAGACTAAGTATAGGGACCCAGCCTTCAATAAAGATCATATTTTATCCAAAAAAGACATTTTTTACTTTAGCAGTGTAAGGAGATCATCTGCAGTATGTACTTCTCTTGCTGAAAAATAATCAACATTTGCCTCACTTTAAGGGCCAGTAACTGCAAAGTCTCTGACATTTAAGATCATTGAACCATTATAAAAAAAATATTTATATATATTTATTTATCTGTTGCTCATCCTCAGTCACCGACTTTGTTTGTCTGTCTCTACAGTCAGTGCCACGAAAAACTGGACCACAGACCATTCTTAGACGACTGTAAATTTGACATGTGTGCCTTCAAAGGACTCCGCTTCACACTGTGCGAAAGCCTAACAGCTTTCGCCGACGCCTGTCAGGTGAAAGGAGGCAAGGTGGAGAGTTGGAGGAAGAACGATTTCTGTCGTAAGTCAGAACCACCCCTTCATTTATCACTTCATGCATCCAACAAACGTTGTACCTAATCCATGATGCCGCTCATCTCTCTGTATTATGCCGTAATGTCCGTCTCTGTGTCTTCCTGCAGCTATGCCCTGTCCTGCTAACAGTCACTATGAGTTGAGTGCCCCTGCCTGCCAGCCCACCTGTAGCAGTCTTGCCCCTCCCGAGGGCTGTGAGGAGGACTCCCCCATGGTGGAGAGTTGTGTGTGTGATGAGAATTTCCTACTGAGTACCGACAAGTGTGTTCTCGTGGAAGAATGCGGCTGTTGGAAAGAAGGAGTGTACTATGAGAACGGAGAGGTAACACCAGCCCTCTCATCAGCACACCTGCACATACTTAAACCTCTACATGTGAGGGTTCTCTCACTCACCTGTCCTCTGTCCTCAGAGTTTCATCCGTGGAGAGTCCTGCGATGAGCAGTGCACATGCTCAGAAGGACAATTAACGTGTAATCCCTTCGCTTGTTCAGAACATGAGAAGTGTGTCCAGAAAGACGGCGTCCCCTCCTGTGAACCCAAAAGTATAGCCACTTGTTCTCTGACCGGTGTCAGAACGGTCAAAACATTTGATGGACAGGTACAGTAACTTTCCTCTCAACAATATCAGAGTAAACACATCAAAAGGGCTTTACCATGAGCCTCTTGGAGTTCTATGGTACTGCAGATGCCATTTTGGTTTACTTTAAAACAGGTCGTAACCATGTTTCCACACAAAGGTGGAGTCTTAGAAGAATAAAGGGTTAGTGAAGGCCAAGTTTTTGGTGAGCAGCAACCTACTGTGTTGAAATATGAAGCAAATCTGGATATACAGAAACTTGCAGTTTCTCCAGTGTCCACTAGAGGCTGTGCCATAGAGTGAGTCAGTTCATATAAAGCCCTTTGTTAAAATGTCCAAGTTCACAGCAGAAATAAACACGGTTACAACAGCCTGGCACAAATAAAATGTTGGTTCCGTTGGCAAATTTTTTTGTCCATAACAATTTTACATAAGTAAACTTCTTGTATAACTCCCCTGTTTTTGTTGTATTAGGGCCATACTAAGTTTCATTGGGGCAAGGCTTTGAACTGGGTAATAGATGGCTTTCAGATGTAAATGAGAGCGATCAGTACCTTCCTCTTAATTTACTGCTCCATGGATAAAGGCAAAGTGCATTCCCACCTGAAAGTGGTAAAATTGGGTCTTTTAAGAAGGGCATGAATGGAGATTGCTACGCTTTTGAAGCCCGCCTTAAGTGACATTCAAGGAACTGCACCTCTCTACACTTCCACTGTGGCTTCATTTTTAGATCCCAGAGGTTCAATCACTATTGACTGACTTCTCTTTTAGTGTGTCTCCACCATGCGTTTCAGTTCAGAATGCAAGTTGCTAGTTGGAAAAAGTGCAGAAATAACCAATTTATACTTTTTAGCGCCCTTCTGTCAAGGCACTTACCATACTGACTCAACCCTCAGGGGTGGAGCTAGAAACTATGTAATCAGTTGATTGAAAGGAATCATCACTATCCTTACAGAAGTGGTAGAAAGTTCAAACTCAAGGCAATCCATGTTTTCAGGGAGTACTTTTAAGGCCGTCTTTGTATCTGAGTGAGTAATGTCAGCACACAACACTGCCCTTCAGCCCTTTGGTTTCCTCGCACAAAAACATATATTCCCTGTATATCACCTTGAGTCTGAATAAAGAGCTATGCAAGACACTTCTTGTTCTGCCTATGATTGTCCTGGACAAAACTTCAAAATTAAGGCATTGTGTTAAAACAAGGGGGATCTTGGATCAGGCTTTTACTTTGAAAAGTATTCTAGAAGTACAACCATAGTATATTTTTATAGTATATTTATATCAGTTAAGATGTGCTGCTTACTCTGGCTGACCCAGTATGTCAACATGCAAGCTAAAAATCAAGCCATTCAAAAGTCTTTCAGCAAAATGCACTGGTTGACTAGCTAAGAAAAGTCACTGTAGTTGTTAATCACAGGTAGCCCCACCCCCAACCCCCCTTGCTTTACAGGAAATAGGATTTTTAATTGTATCAGCTTTGTTAGACATGCTCAGTAGAAATTCAGACACAAAGTGAAGTCTTTCTCCTCTAATGTCTCCACCCTCTCTACCTGTAGAACTATCCTCTGTTTGGAAACTGTCCGTTCACGATGTCAGAAGTGGAGGAGATGGATGAAGGGATGCCGGCCTACTCCGTGTTGGTGCTGCAGACAGATGAAGCCGGTGCTGTGTCTCGTGATGTGGAAATCACAGTTTATGACACAAAAATCACCTTTGAAACAGGAGTTCAATGGAAAGTCAAGGTATGACTGATGTTTTTTCTTCTTTGGGATCAAAAAGTCAAACATGCTGTGGACATTCAAGGCTCAATCGTTTCACAATCTGCCAAGCATTTAACCGCTGAACATGAAGTATCAGCCTTTATTGAAATCAACTTGTATTTTATCTGATTTTATTGTCTTGTTTGCAGTTCATTAGGTAAGAATGATCATTTAGGGGTGTGATGGCGTCCTCTGCTAAAAAGTGCACATCTGTGAATTTTCTCTGGAAAGGCTCCTAATGTTTTCACATATATTTAAGTCCTCTCGACTTGTTTTTGTCAACGTGTTCAAGGCCATCTCAACAAAATCTGAGAATGTTTAGATTAGAAAAAAAAATCTGACTTGGATCGAGAATTTCTAACAATTCAACTAACTTTTGTCTAAGAGAAAAAGCTAGATGTCCATTCTAGAAATGTTTGTCATGGCATTTATTGTTTTTTAGGTCAAAGTTGTTGGTTTAAATCCTGACTCCTGAATCTTGAGACCTGACTTTATCATCATAGTTTCGTGTAAAAATTCAGGCCTTAAAAATACTCATGGGCCTAAATTCTCCTCTGTTGTTGTAGAAAAAGTTTTAAATATTACATTATAAGTTATCCCAGTTATAAGTTTGTTTTACAGCGACATATAATACATCTTTCTTTTCAGATTGATGACGTCGCAGTCGTTCTCCCTTGGTCACTGGACAATGACAAAGTTCTAATAACTCAACACTGCAACTTTATCGTGCTTGAGACTGACTTTGGTCTGAAGGTGACCTATGACACAAAAGGAGGAGTGGTTTTACAGATCCCATCCACCTATCACAATGCTCCACGCGGTCTCTGTGGAAACAACAACAATGACCCCTCTGACGACATGGAGAACGGCGATCCTCTGGAGACAGCAAACCTTTGGCTGGTATCGATAGACGATGTTCAGTGTGAGGCAAGCTGTGGAGCTGCTACCTGTCCTGGACCTGATGATGGTAATGTCCCAAATGCTGAAACGGACTGTGGCATCATCAAATCACCAGAGGGTCCATTTGTGGAATGCCACACCACAGTTGAACCATCTCCATACTTCGATGCCTGTGTCAGGTAAGAAGAGTTGAACTCTATTTATTCTGAATCGAATTCAGAGGTAGCCAGCAGGGGGCAGATTGTACAGGGGTCTGTGAGAAAGTGGTCCTCCTCCTCCTCAGCTGATTTTGTCACTCAGTAAACTTTTTCCTAATGGGTTTATGGACCCAATCTGCAGTTTCTGGTCTTCTTGAATACAGCATGATGTTTATTAAGTAAATTATGGTCCATTTAAAGCCACAGAGACCAGAAAGATGGAGTAGAGTCAGACAGGGAAAACCTGGAATTGTGAAGCAGCTGCCATGGGGTCTTGATCTTATGAACTAAAAGTTTCTTATGAGTGCTTAGATGCTTAATTTTCAACTGTTTAAAACATTTTTCTGTCAGCCATATGAACATACTAGGTATGCAGTTTAAATACCACCCTGTCAATCAACTTAGCTACCATCAAATCTAAAAGATAACCTAATTAAACTGAAGTCTTACAAGATTAGGACACGTGGTAAAAACTGATATTTGGAGAGTAATGTTGCAGCTTTATAACTCATGAACAGATCTGCAAAATTAGGTCTTATTATAACCCATTAATTTTGAGTTTCATAATAAAGTTTTGGTGGTTTGTCTCCTCAGTGAGTTGGCGACACACAATTTAGATCAACAGATCCTGTGTAAACACATCTCAATTTATGTTGCTGCCTGTCAACTTGCTGGAGTTGCATTAGAGCCATGGAGGCGCCCTGATTTCTGTCGTAAGTTCAAGTCAATCCATAGTTGAATTGTTTTGAATTCTGTATGTATTTTGAATATGTATTTGTGTATGCATTTTGAATCCTAATCTTATGTGGCATTGTGAGTTGTGTTCTGTTCAGGTAAGAGTTTTGAGGTCCAGCTGCACATGGTTAAAAGTTTAAACAGTTTTTTATTGTTCATAGATAAAAATCCCCAAATCTGCTAAATTTAAACCACAGAAATCTTTGATTCCTTCATCTCTGAGTGTCGGGTCTATTGTCATTGTCTCCGCAGCGCCGACGTGTTCATCAGGGAGTCACTATGAGCTGTGCGCCTCCTCCTCATCCTCCACCTGCGCCTCCCTCGAGGAGCCATTCCCCTCCACGGTCTGTCAGGAGGGCTGCCAGTGTGATGACGAGCTGCTGTCTGATGGAAATCAGTGTGTCCCAATGGAGAATTGTGGCTGCCTTGTGAATGGAAACTATTATCAAGTAAGAACCTTCTTGATGTCGGGCAAAATACCCTGATGGCAGCAATAACCTGATCACACATCATTTCACATTAATCTGAGAAAGGTAGTGCTGCATGTGTTTGCACAAAAATATTGAACATAACACAAAAATTAGTAACAACTCACAGAAAATATGTCATAGAAATGGACACAAAAACTTTTATAAAAAATATAATCCTTAACACCAAAGATATTTGTAATGTTCCTATTCAAATTTTAAAGTGTTCTGTGTTTTCTAACTGTGAGTGAATGTGTATGGCACGGGCACATGTGTGGTTGGATGAGAAAGTGAGGAGGTGGGGTGAGCGACAGAGACGGGGGTTCAGTGTGTCTATGTGTATGCTTGTATGTGTGTGAGTGAAGAGCTGAGGGACAGAGAGAGCAATCATGGAAGTTGGTGTGTTGGTGCAGTTACTGTTATAAATTTTATTTTATTTTTTTGTAGCAAATCATATTTTTGTCCTTGTCTTTAACGTGTCTGGTCAGACGCTACAATACTTTCAGAGGCGGGCTACTGTCAGAGCGAGGCTTTAGTTAATTTAAGGTACAGTATAGTTCACATGTCTAAGGCCTTGGGGACCCACTGTATATGTAAACTTGAGTAGTCCCTTATGAGCATCCTTGACTCAAGTGCACAGGGACATTGCACTACATGAAGCTGGACATGTCAGTGTTGGTAATGCTAATTGAATGAGGGTGGGTTTAGTGTCCTGGAACGTCAGGGTCTAGAGCTGCAAGAATCAAACAAACTCCTTTTTTGCACAAATGACATTCTTTAACCACTTGTTGTATATGCACCTGTAGCCATGTGGTCTTCCAGGTCCTTCCAGCTGGTTAATGATGAAATCTATAATTTCTACATCAGCTTGTTCCTTAACTTTAAGGCAATGCATTTTGAGCAGCCAAATGAAGTGTTTTTTGCTAAGAATTACTCCATGCCTTACCACAAGTGACTAAGGCATATCATTGTAATTCATTCCCATCTTGTAATTTAATGAAATTAATTCAAGCATGTCCATTTTAATAATCAACAGTCTCTTTATCCCTCTAAAACTGACAGATCCCATTATATCAGGTGAATTATCTCATGGCCGCGCATTAACTTTCTCGTGGCCACAGGTTATCATCTCATGGCCACGCAGTAATGTTTTTTTCCTCCAATGTCACGAGAGTTTATTTTATTTTCAATGACTCAAAGGCATTTCAGTTAACACGAAACAATTCATAAATATAAAAATTTTAGCAATTTCAAAATTACACAGAAACATTTTTTAAAGGCATGAAAGTATTTCATGTAACAGTAAGCATTTCACAAAAAAAAAATATAAATCACAAAAAGGAAATATTTAAGTGTTTTGAGAAATATTTTTGGGGTTTGTGACATATTTTTCCAACTGGCAATGTAGTTTTTACTTCCATGAAAAATTGCAACAATCTGTGACATACTTCTATGTTTGGGGAATATTTTTGCAAAATATATGATTTTTTTTCATTTTTATTAATTTTTTTCCCTAAATGTGAGGCTTTGTGATTTGTGAAAACTGAAGGTTTCAATATTTTAGTACTTGTCAAAAGTATTTCATAATATTTTTATAATTTTGAAATATTTTTGTATTTTGTAGCATTTTTGTAACATTTTTTTTTGTTTTGTGACCAATTATTACTTATGAGACATCAGTTTATTCTTTTAAAATATTTTTTGCAATATGGAAGAATTGTTATGTATATGAAAGTGTCTTTGTATTAGACAAGAATATCTTAGTTTTAGATGCATAAAATATTTAGTTGTGTTGAGTTGATGTATGTGTCTTTTTAAAAATCAGAGCAACTTTTTTTTTTCAGTCGGGGACATCAGTCTTGAATGAGGACTGTTCAGAGAGCTGTACCTGTGAGGCCGGAGTGTTCACATGCATAGATCACAGCTGCCAGGAGGAGGAGGAGTGTCTCATAAAGGAAGGGATAATCGGCTGCTACCCCATAGGTCAGATATTTTTATTTCAACCTGCATGTCTTTTTTAGCAACAGCAGCTTGAGTCACATCATCTGTCTGCTACACTTTCCATTGGAATAAATTATTTCAAAGATGTTATTAATAATCAAATCATTTTCTGTGTGTGTTTGTGTGTGTGTGTTTGTCTGTGTGTGTTTCAGACCCCTGTGAGGACATAGAGTGCAGGGTGAAGGAGCATTGTGAAGTCATTGAGGGAGAAGGTGCTTGTGTCGCTGACTTTAAAGCAACATGCTGGGCCTTTGGTGACCCACACTTTGGGAAACTGGATGGCGGCAGGTTCTCCTTCCAGGGAACCTGCAGCTACATCTTCCTCACCACCACAGGTGAGATTTTACCTGACAGACAAACCAGGCCTTTAGGTCTTTGACCCACTGTGATTTCACACTAAAGATTTGATTTGTTCACCTTTACAAGTTACTCTAACATCAAGTGAACCAAACAAGACAAAAACAGGGACAGTATGTTCAGTTCAGGAAATCAACTTAGTCTGAGCTGATCTGTTAAAAACCTCACTGATATTATCAGTGCAGTTGTTGTTGCACACACCTTTGCTTTGCCTTGCCTACTATAAAATGAGTTTTTCTCCTCCTCAGATCTGGATCCAACGTTGCCAGAAGTGACTGTGACCACGAAAAATGAGCTGAGAGGAAACTCTCAAGGCTCCTACGTGCGTTCAGTCACTGTGGAGATGCTGGGTTATCGCATCGACATCCCCAGCGGACAGGACGATATCATTTTGGTGGCTCAAGATGATGTGAGTGGATCTTTTCATTTTATTGCACCTTTGATGATCTTTTAGTATCTCCACTCATTGCTGTGCAGAACTACACTGTGGGTGCTCATCTTGCAGCATTGAACTCTTTCTACTGATATGATGAGCTGGATGGAGATTGTCAATTCATTACAAATGCCACGATTCCAAAATTCAGAGTAAATGTCTGCTCGGTGAATAACAGAATTATGTTTCTCTGTAGGAGGAGGGCATGAAAGAGGAACTTCCCTATTTCACTGAGGATGGCAGGCTGTCCATAACTAAATCAGGAATAAGAGGAATAATCGAGACTGACTTTGGCGTGGAGATTACTTTTGATTGGTCCACTTTGCTCATGGTCACCCTCAGTAGCAGTTACTTTGGTAATACTGGTGGACTGTGTGGTAACTACAACGGGAACAGTACAGATGACATGACAACTCCTGATGGCGTCCTTCTTACTGATGTGGCGGCCTGGGCAGAATCCTGGAGTGTCCCTGATGGGGACATTTTCTGTTACCATCAATGTGAGGGGGATTGTCCTCAGTGCTCACAGGAAGACCAGAAGAAGTAATGCCTTCAAACTATTCCAAATTTTAATAACAACACGTTATGGCTCAGTGTCCTTGTCATAAATGTTATTTCCTCCTCTTCCTCTACAGGTACTCAGGTCCAAAGTTCTGTGGGTTCCTAAGCAATCCGGATGGACCTTTTGCTGTCTGTCATGCTACAGTTCCTGTGAAGGACTTGCAGTCAGACTGTCTGTATGACGTTTGCCTCAATGATGGACGACAGGAAGTGTTGTGTGGAGCCCTTAGCAGCTATATGGCGGAGTGTCAGAAACTTGAAGTCGATGTGGGGCCGTGGAGGGAGCTGGCTGGATGTCGTAAGTTAAAAATATGAACATGTACACCAAGTTTGGGAGGTTTTGGCACAAATTAAGGACTTAATATCTGACTAATTTTCCATGTTTGTAACTTTATAATCATACAAATTTGCTCTGTATCTCAGACATTTGCCATTTTTTGCATTCCTTTGTCTCTGTATAGTCTTTAAATCATTTTTGGATTTCTTCTCACAAATTTGCAAGCCCTTTTTTTGAAAAAACAAACAAACAAATGTTTAATTTAAAATTTAAAATAATTAACTCCATAGTTTTTTCACTAACTGCTAAATTTGTTTTCCACATATTTAAAGGAATATTCCAGCGTAAAGTTGGTATAACTAGAGAAGTCAGCAGTTGGCAACATTCATCTTTCAAGGGGTTGTCTAACTCGGTGCTACAGTGTGTTTGACCCCAAAATTTTACGCCGGAATATCCCTTTTAAGACTTAAACGTATTACATATTTGAGTCTTTTATTTCACAGTGTTTCAATTGATAAGTGACCAAAAAAACAGCAAAAATTTGCCTGTTATTTCTTGACAAGTTTGTCAGTTATTATAGATGTATTACTGCAATTTTTTGGATCTTTTCACATCACCTTTTGACCCAAATTAAAACTTCTTAATCCCACTTATTTGTTCGTTTTTCATATAGACTTACTTCTTTATAATATAAAAAAATTGGTTCCTCAATCTTTCTTTAAGAATTAATGATTTAGAATTTAATGATTAATAATTAAATTTCCGCAATTATACACACATTTCAGATTCATTCATAGTTGCTGTTTTCTTTACATGTATTTGATTTTTAACTGTATTGAATAACTGTTTGATTTCAATAATTGTTTGAATTCAGAGAGAGCATTTTGCAAGTGCAGGTGGTTTTAAAACATGGGGAACAGCAGATTGACAAAAACTGAGACTGATTTTACCGTCAGTGGAGTTGCCCTCTGTTGGATTTTAGAGGAATTATTCCACATCTGTATTAACTCTCCCTTTCAGAGCTGGAGGCTATGACCACTTCTCATTTAAATCAAAGCTCCAGATAGTCTAACATCTCACCCTCTTGTCCTCCAGCTCTCGAGTGTCCTGACAACAGTCACTACTCAACATGTGGCCCAGCATGTCCAGCCACCTGTGGTCCTCAGCCAGAGGTGTGTCCGCATGAATGTGTCGAGGGTTGTTTCTGTGATGACGGATACGTTCAGAGTGGAGAAGAGTAAGTTCAACATCGTCAACAGTTTTCTTAAGGGTTAAATATTTAAATAACAGATCTGCACTTCACAGGATGACTGTATTCTGTTCAGGGATTTAAATAAAAGAGTTACACTTGGTTGAAAGGTGGTTAAAGTGCTTCAATACACCCTGTGTTTAGCATCGCTACATATTGATTATTGTTCAGATCTTTTTTGTTATTTTCCACATTCATGTTTCTGTCATATACAGACTCATTTCAAAATATTCACCACTTTTCATTGTTGTGCAGTATTTTAAAGTGTTTACAAGCTACTTTTTTTTAATATAAACCAACTTTATGCTGAAATATTATTTTAGTTCAGCACTATCAGTTTATTTGCACATACCAGATTGGAGATAATAAAAAAGAAATTCCTTTGTCTGTATGACTGTTTGTGCAGCCACATGACTCTTTAAGGACTATTAATACTTTGTGGTTTTGGACAATCAACAAATGTCACTTGGACCAAGACAAACCCAGCTAGCAGCCAGGCACACACAGAGCACAAAGTGATAACGAATCCCTAACAATCACTAGAAACTTGAGATTTCTGGGTAAACACGACTCAATCATTAACCAACTGAATGGGCAGAAGTTCAGACCATCAAGAACCCATTACTAAAAAACACCTTCATGGTGAAAATGAAGTTCAGTTGTTCAGTTGTTGACAATCTGAATGTTTTTTATTGCATTCAATAGAAACAAGCTGCAGATAAATAGTGACAACCAGAGGTGGTATTTGCAGATCCTGCTTTTTTTCCGTACCTGGATGATGAAACTGAACTGTCAATTTTCAAATGTTGAAAAGTAAAACTCAAATACTAAATGTTAAGTAGTATAAATCAGCCTTGTTTTGATTTTTTTAATCTGAGACATTATGATTTCCTTGCTTTTCTGTCTGATAGGTGTGTAATCAGAGAGCAGGGCTGTGGCTGTGAGTTTGAGGGACATTATCGCAAACCTGGAGAGGAGTTTTGGGGCAACGTTGAGTGCACTGAGAAGTGTGTATGTGACCCAGCCACACAAAGCGTGACGTGTGAACCTGCAGCATGTCAGGCTGGAGAGGTGTGCCGCATTGAAAACGGAGTCCGGGACTGCCACCCAGTGCGCTTTGAGACTTGCGTCACTCGTGGGGACCCACACCATTATGGCTTTGATGGACGAAGGGTGGACTTCCAGGGCAACTGTGTGTACAGGCTGGCTGGTTTGTGTGGACCAAACCCCACAGGTCTGAAGCCCTTTGAGGTAAGCTACACAGAAACTAGCTGCGTTTACATGGGCACAAATAAGCTGGCCCATGAGTCCAAGAGGCTTTTTTGTTCGTCTTGGGTTCCTTCACAAGTTTCCCCCGATTCCACAGCTGTGGGTCACACACAGGGGTGTGGCTGAATTCTTTTAATTTTGTGGGGGGCACTTAAGAGACATTTTTGGTTGGATCTCCATTTTGACATTGTAGCCCTCAAGAGGACACCCCTCCATGTGGCTGCATATCTATAGCAAAATCACAGATGCAATTTTTTGAGTCATTTCATAGCGCCCCCTAGGTGAAGTTATACGGACCATGGTGCTGATTTTTTTGCCACTTTGGTACCGCGTCAGAATCTCAGCTACTCAGCTACATCCCATCAATAAAGAAGGAATTACAGGCCATAAACTGAAAAAACGCGATCAGCTTTGGCCACCATCATTAAGAGAAACTCCCCAATCATGATAATCTAAAAAACGCGCTAGCCATTCTTTTTTTTTCCGTCCATGTAGGGATACCTGTAAAATAGGTGTTTTTTCAGTCTGGCCCATTTAGTCTTAGTGCATGTGTAAGAACATCATGATCAGATTATTTGATTTTGCACCCACATAAACAGTTGATTTGTATTTTCTGATCCCTCATGTAAAAATGGCTCCTGTCAGACAAGATCTGCAGCAAAATAGAAAATGATAGTGTGTGTAGCCATCCAAGTTGGCAGCAAGAAGCAGAATTGTACCTAAATCAGCTTATTTAAAGGATTCAGTGAGGAAAACATCTGATAAGGTATCCATTTATAGGAATCAATATGATGCCTATGATGAAGGAAGTTGTCTCAGCAGACTCTATAAAGTCCTGAAAAACGGACATCTCATTGGGCATCATCCTACCTGCAGCATGATGCTCCTTACAAATGTTTTCTCATTTTCTAGCAAAACATGACAGCTTTAATTCTACTTCCAGTGTGAAGCTCCGGCTAACATCTGCACAGTTATTATAATCCACTCCTGTCACAAGCCTGTGATGGGCCTTGATATAAATATTTCAAGACCCTATCTTGCCACATCAGCACATTCCCAGGTTAAGAAGGTGCACAGTCACAGACAACCATTTCAAACACTATAAAAGCAGAAAATTTGTGTGATCACATAAAAAAAACCCACCTCAAACCACCACAGTGCCCATTTCCAAGCACACACTCTGGTCCTGTTCTGCTGGGTCTATCCCTGTAACCAACATGATGTATTAACAGTTTGAGCTTCACACTTATCCAGTTGTCTTGCCCCCTGTTATTTCCGGGCACTGATTTTGTTTTGGCTCTCAAAAATCATACAGATTGCTGAGTGAGTATTTTCTTCAGCTTGCATCCCTGTACAAGCTTAGCAGAAAAAAAAGTTCACACCAATTATCAGCATGGAGTCATAAAACTTTTCAAAAGAAAATAACCTTATTCGGCGAGTAATTATAATGCATACTGACTATTTGGGGGATATGTGGTTCAGTAACTAACATAATCACAAACATAGATATAATGGCTGAAGTCTTATTCAACACTGTTAGTGTTCTAATTTTAAAAAATCTCACATGCATGTGTCCAGAAATGTTTGTCCACTTTACAACTCGACATGATGATCAATGCGGTGTATCTGACCTGACCCTACAATGACAAGAATTATCAAAAGTGACATTTCAAAACCTATTTCAATGCCAGTATTACCACCCCATAATTTTTGTTGTTAGAATACTGTTCACTGCTACGAAGCTGGATTAATTCACCCAGGATTACTCTGCCACAACTCGCTCAACTTCACCAGATCAGCTGTATTATGAGGCAGGATATCAACTCGATAACTGAATCCAGCTGAGGCCAGTCTAGATCTGTGCACGCACATGTAAAGGGTGAGGGGTCGGTACCACCGAACCACTCTCCACAATGGAGGATGCTGCATGTCATATTTCACAGAGCATTATTTTACGCAAATACAGGGAGTACTGTGACATTATAGCGACAAGGAGCAAGACTGCTGCAGCCGCAGGAAGCCAGAGGGGCTGCCGGCAAAAATTCACCGATAGTGTAGATTACATTTGTGCATTCATAAATTTATGGTACCCTAGTATGTTTTCATGCAGTGTGTGTGATCACCATCATCATTGACCTTATTATTTCAGATGCAACAGCAATGGGGAAAAGAGTATGCAGGAGCAAATAAAAACAGATATAAAAACATCCTTCAAAGTGGTTTGTAGGTTTATTGGAAGATTTTATTGTACATATTTCAACATGTAAACAGTGATTTCCTTGCACTACCTCAATGTGGAGCTTTTTTCTTTTTACTCCATCATCTGACGGTCCCATGCCATCTGCAGACACATTTGGGGTTAAGAGGAGCTTTCTAATCTGCTTCAATAAATTCTAAATGATGACTGATATGCTGCATGAAACTCGAACTTGGAGCTTGGCAAATATCAGTGCATTACTTAGACTTCATGCTACCTGAATATTGAGGCCGTCCAAGGAAAACCTGTAACATTCAAAGAGAACGTCATCAGGTAAATCAAACGGATTTGAACGATCATGAATATAACGCTCTTGGCAAAGCACTCCTCTCACTATCCGTGCACCAATGTCCATGGGATCCAGCAAAAGTGGGCAAACCATTTTCCAAGAGATCCGACTGGTCAGTCGGTGGTCTTTTATACCCGCTGAGATCTTATCCTGAAACATAACCTGCTCCAGAGCGGGTTTGGCGTTCTGCACAAGTTACCCGAGCAACGGAAAATCCAGGAGTTATCCAGAATTTATCCCACTAAGATCACACATAGCTTCGTAGTATAGGCCTCGGGTCAGTACATCTGTGCATGATTTGCTGAAAACAAAAAAAAAAACAAAAACAAACAAAAAGACACTTTAAGAGTTGTAAAATCAAAAGTTTGCCGCTGGCTCTATATGCAATATTGACAGGCTAGACATTATTTTAAAGTTGCAACTTCCAACATTTTTCTGAGGTATAATAACTCAAATAATGTGCAACAACATGTCCAATTCTATTTTATATACTGTGTAAAACACTTTATTTTTGTTGTTGTTGTTGCTTGCATTTTTTCTTCTTTTCAATTTTTTTTTATATAATTCTTTTTGTATAGGACCAAGTTAACTTTTTATAAATATCCGTGCACTGTATACTTATTCTTCTATTTTTGCTGTGCTGATCCTGCTGTGAGCACTACAAATTTCCCTACAGCAGGATGAATAAAGGTTTATCTTATCTTATCTTATCTCATCTTATCTTATCTTATCTTGTCTTATCTTACACAGTGACGCTAAAATGGATTAAAAACAGAAAGAGAAAGGTTTTTGTTCTACCTGTATTCAAAGATCATTTTACTTCACTCTGTGGATTCTTATTTAACCCTTCATTTGTTATCCTCTCCCTTTCTGCCTCCTTTTGTCTCTCTTTCCTTCCTCCCTCTCTCTTCTAACTTTGTTGAACTACAGATTACTCTGGAGAACGAAAACCGCAACGGCAACAAACAAGTATCTTACGCCAAGGCAGTGACACTTAAGGTCTTCGGCAAAGAGTTTACGCTTACACGGGATAACCCAAGAAAAGTGCTGGTGAGAAATAAGCTCAAGTACACACCGTCACGCATATGTGCAAACTGTGGGTGTTGAGGCTAATTTATACTGTATGTCTGCATGGGAGTTAAGTGTGCCTGTACTTTGCATTGATTTTATCGATATCTCTGCACTTTTTTGAAAACAATCTAAACATTACTGTGACTTTGAAAATTGTGTGGGCAGGATTGAGCAGTGTAGACAACAATAACAGGAAAAACTGCAGAACACAACCGAGAAGAATGCGTCTAAAAACAGTGCAATATTTTAGGAATGATTGTTTGGGTCGGTTTCAGAGAGAAAAATGTACTTTTTCCAATGTTTATTTCTAAAGCCAGCATAAGCAGCAGAGGCCTACCTGTCATGTCATTTTGGAGTACTTTTATTTCTGCAGCCTTTAGTCCTAGTCAACAAGAGGGGGACATGTAACATTTTCACAGTCTTTCCTGTACCGAGGTTAAAGTTTGGTTCAGTTCCTGTCTTAATATTAAAATTGACAGAGACTTGTCCCTATTGAGATAGTCTGACAGCCATACAGAACTCAGACCTACTGTTTTCTCTTTGCTACTACCAACCACAAGTACTGCTGGGTACCAGCATCTGCTCAGTATTTATTCTGATTATGGAGTAGGGCACTCTCAGAACTCTATTATATTACTGCTGACTGATCCCAGTCAGCATTCTGTACAATACCGGTCATCCCTGTGGAGACACAGATGTCTCTGATAAGGGTATAAGAGGTAGTCTGCCTGGTAGTTGCTCGATCTTATCCTGTTTTTTATCTGTTTCAGTTCTTCTGTTAGTGTTTAGCCATGTGTTCTTATGGACACCCGTGTCTGTCATCAAAGATGATGATGACCTAATGCATTGTTTGGGTTAGAGCAAAAAGTCAGAAAACTTGCTTTGTTGCACTGGCTAATGTACAGTTTGATAACATGAGAAAATGTAGACCTTGAATATGAGATGGTTCTGCTTTTCCTCATGTATTTAGATGACAGACAATATCTTAGATTTGGACTAAAACAGTTTTCTTTGGGGAATCATCTTGACAAACATTTTGTCTGATGATATCTCTACCTGCCAGAAACACCACCCAACGTGAACCCTCCATCAATCTGAAATTTTCCACATTCTCAACAAGCAGAGGTGAAACGTGCTTGAACTTCTTTCTGCACACTGATTTGAAATGACGTGGGATTTGGTTGTTCTTGTTGTTTTTGCTTTTCAGATTGGATTGCTGCTGTAGTTGTTATGTGTTTTGACCAGTTAGGATGAGGTACTTGACACAGCTGAGTCATGAGTGGGAGAAAAGTTGTTGTTAAAGCTGTTGATTGTTTACTGAAATTTCTGGTCACACCACAAAGACTGCTGATGAAATGTATTTTCTTTGATGGGAGAGGAAATTTGAAGGCATACTGTGATCCGGACAATAAATAACCAGCAGATGCTGCAAATGTCCTTGACAGAGAACCAACATGGACACTCAGGGCTCTATTTTCGTTCACGCCGATTAAGGCGGCGGAGGGCGGCGAGCCCCGCGCAGTTGTATTTTCGTCTGGTGGAGCCCGGCGTAAGGCGAGTTTGGTATTTTCGTGGACTGAGTCGCACGGAGGCGAGCCGAGATCCGCCAAGCTGGGCGTGGTGGCGTGGCAGGGGGAGGTGTTGACAGAATCAGCTGGCGCAGTGACATTTTCGTGCTCGCCACCGGCGTGTAACGTGCGCTGAAAGCTCGCCGATTCAAACCTGGTCAGCTTTCAGCGCAAGGCAGAACGCAGCTGGTCTAGTAGTATTTTGGTAGACCGGCGGCGTATCTACATACGTCACCGATGCCTCACCGGCAGGTTTCCACAGTGTCAGGCAGATTTCAGTGCAATAAATAATCATCAACAACTATTATTCGAGTCAGCACATACATTTAGATCTATATCGATATATTCTGATCTATATCTGATCTGATGAGCGCGTTTGGCACGCGTTTGGGCACACAACCTGACCGAATCAATACAGCTGAAACTGCATCAAATTAAATTAAATATCTAGTAAATAAACACACACGATGAAGTTAACAAGATATGTAATGTGTCTCCCTCCTTTTCTTTCTTCCTCTTATTTCTCGCACAGCTCGACCTGGACACGTCTCCGTGTCCTCTGTCCGTCTTGCTGCTGCTGCTGCAGCTGAACAGATGATTTGTTTCAGTGCTCAGATGCGTGATCTACTTTAAGCCGACATATGGATATCATAATATTCAGTTTTGTGGGCCAAATTTATTTTATATGCCAACATCTATGAAAGAAAGAGCCAGGCCACGGAGCGCGATGCGTCATTTACGCACAGATGGTTCCGATTTTAATGCCATTTTTGGAGTTTATGTTGTGATCTGTACGCTAAACCCCCCTTTGTCACGTGAGGTTTGAATATATGCAACTTTATGTGAGTGTCTTTTTTGTGGAAAAGGGTGTTTGTCTTACCAGTGGGTCCAACATTACGCACACCAAATCCATCTGTGCTCAAGTGAGAGAGTGTGGAGGACACTTGTTTAGCAGCTGCCCTCTGTCGCCATCGTGTGGCATAACTGTCTTCAGACATCTCTTGATCTCTTTGACTACTTCATGAAAATAGTAATACGCCTCGCCGGTGGCTGATTTAAAGGCAAGGAGAGGAGCTTATGTGATTGGTGAAAACAGGTCTCGGCTGTGTTAAACCCCTTATACGCCCTCTCTCCTCCCCATCTACGAATTATGCTGCCGGGAGGAGCTGAGTTAGGGAGGGGGGATACTTACGCCGGGCTGCGCGGCTCACCAAAATACCAAAATGTGCTTGGGAACGCCTTGTCAGCGCGGCGGATCTGATTGACGCTGCGCTTGCGGCAGATCTCCGGCGAGGCACCAAAATAGAGCCCTAAGTCTTTTTTTTCCCCCACAGGTGGATGGTCTTGAAAGGTCCCTGCCGATGTCATGGGAAAACTCTCTTGTGCAGGGTCAGCTCCAACACAGACATGCTGTCATTGAGACACACTTTGTCAAGGTATTTATGAATGTATTTCAATGCTAAATAGAACATCTAAACTGGCCCTGCTTTGAGAGTACTGAACAATAGGGTGCATTGTTTTTATCATGCCCCTGCCATAAGGGAACTCTGGGGGTCTGGTCCCACAGTTTAAGATCATCGTTTGCCTTGACAACATATTTTGAAGGAATAAAAATCAAAAATGTATTACATGCCGCTACGTTAGAAAAAGAAGTCGACTCCAGTTGAAGGCAAAGTTTCTGTTTCAACTTCATGTATGTTTGAGGTAAATTACTTTTAAGGACTTTTTTCTTCATGTTTTCTTGGTTGCAGGTCTCCTTTGACTTCTCCAGTACAGTGAAGGTACACCTGGCTTCAAGTTATAATAACGCAGTCTGTGGTCTGTGTGGAAACATGAACGGAGACCCTTCAGACGACATGATGCTGCCCAATGGGGAGCAGGCCGCTACTGCCAATGAGTTTGGAGTGAGCCAATGGGTAGCCGATGTGGAGGGCTGCTCCAAAGAGTGTAAGAAGCTCATTCACTGTTATCATGAATGTTCTGAGCAACAACTAACTATGAGTAACACAGGGGTCAACGATCTGCAGTTGCCTGGGTGATCTTCAGTGGAGAAATGCACTGTAAATAAAAAACAAAACATGTTGCAACAAGCTAAAACAACTGCATAATCAGCAAATACACAAAGCACAGAAGCATCTGCAATAAGCATCAAAGCAGCAAATGAGATGCTCTGATGTTTATTGATTTTAGAATAGAATAGAATAGAATATTCCTTTATTGATCCCCCATGGGGGACATTTTTTTGTCACAGCAGCATCACAGACAGAGTGCAAAAATGCAGTTATAGAAATAAAGATCCTAATATTAAGAACTTAAATAAATGTAACAATTAAGAAAAAAAATAGAAAAAGGAAAAAGGGAGAAGAAAAATAAAACTATCTACAAAACTATCTACATTTTGATTAAATGTTTCTTTGGGTTGAAAGCAAGATGTAAAAATGTATAAAGCAGGATAATCCATTTCATTTGTAAAAGGAATTCGAAGATATGCAAAAATAATAATGGGACTGCTGCTGTTTTTTTTCCATCCTCAGGTAAAGACTGTCCTCCAGATATCCCTCCTGGCACCGAGCCACCCGCTTACACCAAGGACTGTGACATAATAACAGCAGAGGATGGACCCCTGGCTGGATGCATAAACCTCCTTAAAGCCGAACAGTACCATGAAGACTGTGTGTATGACATGATGCTGACAAACGGCAGTCGAGATGCAGCCTGTGCCATCATTAGAGATTATGTGGAAGAATGTCTGAGTAAAGGTGGCGAGGTCAAACCATGGAGGACAAAGAAATTCTGCCGTAAGTCTTGTATTGTTTTTTAGTTGTTGTTGTTGTTGTCGATGTAACCCACAGAAACAAGCAGCACATTGATGCATCCATGTCTGTCTTCTCCATCTCTGGGGCTACAGGCAGTGCTGTGCAAGTTCACAATTAAAATGAGTTTCCAGCAGCTCCATTTTTTTTTCTTCCAGTAAAGCTCCCCAAGCTTCAATCCCTAACTCTCAACCATTTACATTTTCAGTGCCACATACAAAGAAACAGTTAAGCATAGCATTCACACAGCAAATTCAGAAATGTTGGAATGTCAAAAGCAAACAAACTGGATCCAGAAGTTCCAAAAGTTTAAATTTAGACAAATTAAAGGGGCTCTAGGACTGTAGAAGGTACTCAGGGAAGCTAGATTTGGTGATACCCATTTTGGGAATAAATAATAAACATGTTCAATTAGGGCTCTTGGGAGACAGAGATGCGGAGCAGGGTCATATACAGACCTCCACTCTTTCACGATGACAAAGGTATTTTATGTATGATTAACGTGCACAATACTGTGTGTATGTTTGTGTGTTACAGCAATGAAGTGTCCTGCCGGCAGCGAGTACAGTCTCCAAGCTCCTGGCTGCCTAATCACCTGCAGCTCCCTATCTCCACCGGCCCTCTGTCAAATCCCACCCAGCGAGGGCTGTGTGTGCGAGAAAGGAAAATTGATGGGAAAGGTAATATTCTTCTTTATGCCTGTGTGACTATGTTCTAGTTCTTTAACTATTTGTAGTACTTTTCAGACAGTCATTCTGTATTTATATTGTGCAAATCCACAACAAATGACTTCTTAAAGGCATGGTTGACAATTGGAGAAGCAATTGAAAAAAACTGAGCCGTTGAGGCAAATTTGAAAAAAGGGTCCCATCCTCCACACACAAACCTCTACCCTCTGTGCTCCACGATAACTCGCCCCTGAACCTGTATCACCCTCCCCACGATGTACCCCTTCTGGCAGAGGAAGAAGCCGGCTGGCAGAAGATCCTATGTTAGCTTCAAATAGGATTCACCATGTCGGATTGCTAGTGACTAGCAGCAGTAAATGCCAGCTCTGCTAGCAAGAACCGTCTGCAGCTGCCTGGACAGCTACCGTGTTGACGTTGCAGAGACTAATAAGAGTTATTTATGTAACATGTGCCACGTTAAAAGGCAAAAATTACCTGTTCAACAAAAACTCTGCTGTCTCAGCGTCTGTTTTCAGGCCCAAATCCTGGCAGAGCTTTCTCCACTGCTCGAAGGATGACCCAATGTTAGAGTAAGATTCCTTGCTTGGTCACATTTCCTATTCGTCTCTGCCCTTTCTTCTGTGGGCGTGCGTTTTCTTAGCACTTTTGGCGGTGGGGCAAGCAGAAGTGTATTTTTTCCATCTTTCTCATCACAGCTCCTGTAGCTTAGCTGCTACTTTTAGCCGCTCAGCATTCTGAGGAGGGAGAGTGGGAGGAGATGGATCAGAACTACAGGGGAGGAGTGTGTCAAATACTGATTGGATGGAGTGGCGGAGCAGGAGATTTACCAATAGGAGCTGTCAGGTACAGATGGCTCCTATTGGTCAATGTTTTTGCAGTCCTGCACCTGCTAGGGTGAGGATTTTTTCCATTCTTTTCTCTCTTTACTTTGTGGAGATTGCACTATAGGCCCATGATCACCATATAAACGTGGTTAATAATAATTAACAATCCCTCCAATCGCCAACCTTGCCTTTAAGACCCTTACCAAAAAGAATTTTTCTAGACCATAGTCTTTGAGTAATTTTATCTAAACATGCATTGAGTACAATAGGTGAATGTGGCCTCTGAATCTTGGGCTGATTTTCAAACATGTCAGGAAAAATAAATCATAGGACAAGGGTTTTGAAGTTGCTTAAGTAGGTTGTTCCACACTGAAGTAAAACAGGCTATAATGGCAGCCATGTAACTTTATGGGAAATTTTCCAAAGCAAGTTGCATTGACAAAGAAAATTCTTTGTCAATTCTTTTAGCCCCTCGCAGGCTCAGAAGGTTGCTCTAAAGTTCTGATTACTTAAGAAAATGTTAGGCACTGTAAATCCTTTTTTTTTTAACAGAGTTCACTTTAGAAAAAAATTTGCACTCCAATTTTACATCAGGAGGACAATCTGGTAATAGTGACAGCAATCAGTCAGGAGGAAAATCTGGTAATAGTGACTAGCAATGAGTCAGGAGGAAATTTCCCTGATTCACACATATCCACCTAAGATTTTGTTTTTTTAAATGACAGGATTAAATTCTTATTAGATATTAATTTCATTGTTGTTGGAAAGATTTGGTTTGCTGCTTATAAAAACAAAAGTTGCCAGATCACAATCCTTGAAGACACCTGACTTTTACTGACAGGGGTATAACTTTGAGAAGAATCTCTTAGCTGCACGGTCTGGGATATTGTGATTTTACCCTGACAGTTGTGCTTTTTCTTTGGCAGAAAGGCTGTGTGAAACTGGCTAAATGTGGCTGTACAATGGAAGGTCAGTACTATGAGCCTAATGAGGGACACTATTTAAACAACACATGTAAGACCTTCTGCAAGTGCTACAAGGGGGCTATGGTGTGCGAGTACAAACCCTGCAAGGCAACAGAGAAATGTATGGTCGTGAAAGGAGTGAGAGGCTGCTACAAGAAAGGGGACAGTAACAGCAATCAGTCAGGAGGACAATCTGGTAATAGTGACAGCAATCAGTCAGGAGGACAATCTGGTAATAGTGATAGCAATGAGTCGGGAGGACAATCTGGTAATAGTGACAGCAATGAGTCAGGAGGAAAATCTGGTAATAGTGATAGCAATGAGTCAGGAGGACAATCTGGTAACAGTACCAGCAATTCATCAGGGGGACAATCTGGTAAAAGTGACAGCAATCAGTCAGGGGGACAATCTGGTAATAGTGACAGCAATCAGTCAGGAGGAAAATCTGGTAATAGTGACAGCAATCAGTCAGGAGGACAATCTGGTAATAGTGATAGCAATGAGTCGGGAGGACAATCAGGTAATAGTGACAGCAATCAGTCAGGAGGGCAATCTGGTGGCTGTACAATGGAAGGTCAGTACTATGAGCCTAATGAGGGACACTATTTAAACAACACATGTAAGACCTTCTGCAAGTGCTACAAGGGGGCTATGGTGTGCGAGTACAAACCCTGCAAGGCAACAGAGAAATGTATGGTCGTAAAAGGAGTGAGAGGCTGCTACAAGGAAGGGGACAGTAACAGCAATCAGTCAGGAGGACAATCTGGTAATAGTGACAGCAATCAGTCAGGAGGAAAATCTGGTAATAGTGATAGCAATGAGTCAGGAGGACAATCTGGTAACAGTACCAGCAATTCATCAGGGGGACAATCTGGTAATAGTGACAGCAATCAGTCAGGAGGAAAATCTGGTAATAGTGATAGCAATGAGTCAGGAGGACAATCTGGTAACAGTACCAGCAATTCATCAGGGGGACAATCTGGTAAAAGTGACAGCAATCAGTCAGGAGGACAATCTGGTAATAGTGACAGCAATCAGTCAGGAGGACAATCTGGTAATAGTGACAGCAATCAGTCAGGAGGAAAATCTGGTAATAGTGATAGCATTGAGTCAGGAGAACAATCTGGTAACAGTACCAGCAATTCATCAGGAGGAAAATCTGGTAATAGTGACAGCAATCAGTCAGGAGGACAATCTGGTAATAGTGATAGCAATGAGTCGGGAGGACAATCAGGTAATAGTGACAGCAATCAGTCAGGAGGGCAATCTGGTGGCTGTACAATGGAAGGTCAGTACTATGAGCCTAATGAGGGACACTATTTAAACAACACATGTAAGACCTTCTGCAAGTGCTACAAGGGGGCTATGGTGTGCGAGTACAAACCCTGCAAGGCAACAGAGAAATGTATGGTCGTAAAAGGAGTGAGAGGCTGCTACGAGGAAGGGGACAGTAACAGCAATCAGTCAGGAGGACAATCTGGTAATAGTGACAGCAATCAGTCAGGAGGAAAATCTGGTAATAGTGATAGCAATGAGTCAGGAGGACAATCTGGTAACAGTACCAGCAATTCATCAGGGGGACAATCTGGTAAAAGTGACAGCAATCAGTCAGGAGGACAATCTGGTAATAGTGACAGCAATCAGTCAGGAGGACAATCTGGTAATAGTGACAGCAATCAGTCAGGAGGAAAATCTGGTAATAGTGATAGCAATGAGTCAGGAGGAAAATCTGGTAACAGTACCAGCAATTCATCAGGGGGACAATCTGGTAAAAGTGACAGCAATCAGTCAGGAGGAAAATCTGGTGATAGTGACAGCAATCAGTCAGGAGGACAATCTGGTAAAAGTGACAGCAATCAGTCAGGGGGACAATCTGGTAATAGTGACAGCAATCAGTCAGGAGGACAATCTGGTAATAGTGACAGCAATCAGTCAGGAGGACAATCTGGTAATAGTGATAGCAATGAGTCGGGAGGACAATCAGGTAATAGTGACAGCAATGAGTCAGGAGGGCAATCTGGTGGCTGTACAATGGAAGGTCAGTACTATGAGCCTAATGAGGGACACTATTTAAACAACACATGTAAGACCTTCTGCAAGTGCTACAAGGGGGCTATGGTGTGCGAGTACAAACCCTGCAAGGCAACAGAGAAATGTATGGTCGTAAAAGGAGTGAGAGGCTGCTACAAGGAAGGGGACAGTAACAGCAATCAGTCAGGAGGACAATCTGGTAATAGTGACAGCAATCAGTCAGGAGGAAAATCTGGTAATAGTGATAGCAATGAGTCAGGAGGACAATCTGGTAACAGTACCAGCAATTCATCAGGGGGACAATCTGGTAAAAGTGACCAGCAATCACTCAGGGGGACAATCTGGTAAAAGTGACAGCAATCAGTCAGGAGGACAATCTGGTAATAGTGACAGCAATCAGTCAGGAGGAAAATCTGGTAATAGTGATAGCAATGAGTCAGGAGAACAATCTGGTAACAGTACCAGCAATTCATCAGGAGGAAAATCTGGTAATAGTGACAGCAATCAGTCAGGAGGACAATCTGGTAATAGTGATAGCAATGAGTCGGGAGGACAATCAGGTAATAGTGACAGCAATCAGTCAGGAGGGCAATCTGGTGGCTGTACAATGGAAGGTCAGTACTATGAGCCTAATGAGGGACACTATTTAAACAACACATGTAAGACCTTCTGCAAGTGCTACAAGGGGGCTATGGTGTGCGAGTACAAACCCTGCAAGGCAACAGAGAAATGTATGGTCGTAAAAGGAGTGAGAGGCTGCTACAAGGAAGGGGACAGTAACAGCAATCAGTCAGGAGGACAATCTGGTAATAGTGACAGCAATCAGTCAGGAGGACAATCTGGTAATAGTGATAGCAATGAGTCAGGAGGACAATCTGGTAACAGTACCAGCAATTCATCAGGGGGACAATCTGGTAAAAGTGACAGCAATCAGTCAGGAGGACAATCTGGTAATAGTGACAGCAATCAGTCAGGAGGACAATCTGGTAATAGTGACAGCAATCAGTCAGGAGGAAAATCTGGTAATAGTGATAGCAATGAGTCAGGAGGAAAATCTGGTAACAGTACCAGCAATTCATCAGGGGGACAATCTGGTAAAAGTGACAGCAATCAGTCAGGAGGACAATCTGGTAATAGTGACAGCAATCAGTCAGGAGGAAAATCTGGTAATAGTGATAGCATTGAGTCAGGAGAACAATCTGGTAACAGTACCAGCAATTCATCAGGAGGAAAATCTGGTAATAGTGACAGCAATCAGTCAGGAGGACAATCTGGTAATAGTGATAGCAATGAGTCGGGAGGACAATCAGGTAATAGTGACAGCAATCAGTCAGGAGGGCAATCTGGTGGCTGTACAATGGAAGGTCAGTACTATGAGCCTAATGAGGGACACTATTTAAACAACACATGTAAGACCTTCTGCAAGTGCTACAAGGGGGCTATGGTGTGCGAGTACAAACCCTGCAAGGCAACAGAGAAATGTATGGTCGTAAAAGGAGTGAGAGGCTGCTACGAGGAAGGGGACAGTAACAGCAATCAGTCAGGAGGACAATCTGGTAATAGTGACAGCAATCAGTCAGGAGGAAAATCTGGTAATAGTGATAGCAATGAGTCAGGAGGACAATCTGGTAACAGTACCAGCAATTCATCAGGGGGACAATCTGGTAAAAGTGACAGCAATCAGTCAGGAGGACAATCTGGTAATAGTGACAGCAATCAGTCAGGAGGACAATCTGGTAATAGTGACAGCAATCAGTCAGGAGGACAATCTGGTAATAGTGACAGCAATGAGTCAGGAGGAAAATCTGGTAACAGTACCAGCAATTCATCAGGGGGACAATCTGGTAAAAGTGACAGCAATCAGTCAGGAGGAAAATCTGGTAATAGTGACAGCAATCAGTCAGGAGGACAATCTGGTAATAGTGATAGCAATGAGTCGGGAGGACAATCAGGTAATAGTGACAGCAATCAGTCAGGAGGGCAATCTGGTGGCTGTACAATGGAAGGTCAGTACTATGAGCCTTATGAGGGACACTATTTAAACAACACATGTAAGACCTTCTGCAAGTGCTACAAGGGGGCTATGGTGTGCGAGTACAAACCCTGCAAGGCAACAGAGAAATGTATGGTCGTAAAAGGAGTGAGAGGCTGCTACGAGGAAGGGGACAGTAACAGCAATCAGTCAGGAGGACAATCTGGTAATAGTGACAGCAATCAGTCAGGAGGAAAATCTGGTAATAGTGATAGCAATGAGTCAGGAGGACAATTTGGTAACAGTACCAGCAATTCATCAGGGGGACAATCTGGTAAAAGTGACAGCAATCAGTCAGGAGGACAATCTGGTAATAGTGACAGCAATCAGTCAGGAGGACAATCTGGTAATAGTGACAGCAATCAGTCAGGAGGAAAATCTGGTAATAGTGATAGCATTGAGTCAGGAGGAAAATCTGGTAACAGTACCAGCAATTCATCAGGAGGACAATCTGGTAATAGTGACAGCAATCAGTCAGGAGGAAAATCTGGTGATAGTGACAGCAATCAGTCAGGAGGAAAATCTGGTAATGGTGATAGCAATGAGTCAGGAGAACAATCTGGTAACAGTACCAGCAATTCATCAGGAGGAAAATCTGGTAATAGTGACAGCAATCAGTCAGGAGGACAATCTGGTAATAGTGATAGCAATGAGTCGGGAGGACAATCAGGTAATAGTGACAGCAATGAGTCAGGAGGGCAATCTGGTGGCTGTACAATGGAAGGTCAGTACTATGAGCCTAATGAGGGACACTATTTAAACAACACATGTAAGACCTTCTGCAAGTGCTACAAGGGGGCTATGGTGTGCGAGTACAAACCCTGCAAGGCAACAGAGAAATGTATGGTCGTAAAAGGAGTGAGAGGCTGCTACGAGGAAGGGGACAGTAACAGCAATCAGTCAGGAGGACAATCTGGTAATAGTGACAGCAATCAGTCAGGAGGAAAATCTGGTAATAGTGATAGCAATGAGTCAGGAGGACAATCTGGTAATAGTGACAGCAATCAGTCAGGAGGAAAATCTGGTAATAGTGACAGCAATCAGTCAGGAGGAAAATCTGGTAATAGTGATAGCATTGAGTCAGGAGAACAATCTGGTAACAGTACCAGCAATTCATCAGGAGGAAAATCTGGTAATAGTGACAGCAATCAGTCAGGAGGACAATCTGGTAATAGTGATAGCAATGAGTCGGGAGGACAATCAGGTAATAGTGACAGCAATCAGTCAGGAGGGCAATCTGGTGGCTGTACAATGGAAGGTCAGTACTATGAGCCTATTGAGGGACACTATTTGAACAACACATGTAAGACCTTCTGCAAGTGCTACAAGGGGGCTATGGTGTGCGAGTACAAACCCTGCAAGGCAACAGAGAAATGTATGGTCGTAAAAGGAGTGAGAGGCTGCTACGAGGAAGGGGACAGTAACAGCAATCAGTCAGGAGGACAATCTGGTAATAGTGACAGCAATCAGTCAGGAGGAAAATCTGGTAATAGTGATAGCAATGAGTCAGGAGGACAATCTGGTAACAGTACCAGCAATTCATCAGGGGGACAATCTGGTAATAGTGACAGCAATCAGTCAGGACGAAAATCTGGTAATAGTGATAGCAATGAGTCAGGAGGACAATCTGGTAACAGTACCAGCAATTCATCAGGGGGACAATCTGGTAAAAGTGACAGCAATCAGTCAGGAGGACAATCTGGTAATAGTGACAGCAATCAGTCAGGAGGAAAATCTGGTAATAGTGATAGCAATGAGTCAGGAGGAAAATCTGGTAATAGTGATAGCATTGAGTCAGGAGAACAATCTGGTAACAGTACCAGCAATTCATCAGGAGGAAAATCTGGTAATAGTGACAGCAATCAGTCAGGAGGACAATCTGGTAATAGTGATAGCAATGAGTCGGGAGGACAATCAGGTAATAGTGACAGCAATCAGTCAGGAGGGCAATCTGGTGGCTGTACAATGGAAGGTCAGTACTATGAGCCTAATGAGGGACACTATTTAAACAACACATGTAAGACCTTCTGCAAGTGCTACAAGGGGGCTATGGTGTGCGAGTACAAACCCTGCAAGGCAACAGAGAAATGTATGGTCGTAAAAGGAGTGAGAGGCTGCTACGAGGAAGGGGACAGTAACAGCAATCAGTCAGGAGGACAATCTGGTAATAGTGACAGCAATCAGTCAGGAGGAAAATCTGGTAATAGTGATAGCAATGAGTCAGGAGGACAATCTGGTAACAGTACCAGCAATTCATCAGGGGGACAATCTGGTAAAAGTGACAGCAATCAGTCAGGAGGACAATCTGGTAATAGTGACAGCAATCAGTCAGGAGGACAATCTGGTAATAGTGACAGCAATCAGTCAGGAGGAAAATCTGGTAATAGTGATAGCATTGAGTCAGGAGGACAATCTGGTAACAGTACCAGCAATTCATCAGGGGGACAATCTGGTAAAAGTGACAGCAATCAGTCAGGAGGAAAATCTGGTAATAGTGACAGCAATCAGTCAGGAGGACAATCTGGTAATAGTGATAGCAATGAGTCGGGAGGACAATCTGGTAATAGTGACAGCAATCAGTCAGGAGGGCAATCTGGTGGCTGTACAATGGAAGGTCAGTACTATGAGCCTAATGAGGGACACTATTTAAACAACACATGTAAGACCTTCTGCAAGTGCTACAAGGGGGCTATGGTGTGCGAGTACAAACCCTGCAAGGCAACAGAGAAATGTATGGTCGTAAAAGGAGTGAGAGGCTGCTACAAGGAAGGGGACAGTAACAGCAATCAGTCAGGAGGACAATCTGGTAATAGTGACAGCAATCAGTCAGGAGGAAAATCTGGTAATAGTGATAGCAATGAGTCAGGAGGACAATCTGGTAACAGTACCAGCAATTCATCAGGGGGACAATCTGGTAATAGTGACAGCAATCAGTCAGGAGGAAAATCTGGTACAGTAACAGCAATCAGTCAGGAGGACAATCTGGTAATAGTGACAGCAATCAGTCAGGAGGAAAATCTGGTAATAGTGATAGCAATGAGTCAGGGGGACAATCTGGTAATAGTGACAGCAATCAGTCAGGAGGAAAATCTGGTAATAGTGATAGCATTGAGTCAGGAGGAAAATCTGGTAACAGTACCAGCAATTCATCAGGGGGACAATCTGGTAAAAGTGACAGCAATCAGTCAGGAGGAAAATCTGGTAATAGTGACAGCAATCAGTCAGGAGGACAATCTGGTAATAGTGATAGCAATGAGTCGGGAGGACAATCAGGTAATAGTGACAGCAATGAGTCAGGAGGGCAATCTGGTGGCTGTACAATGGAAGGTCAGTACTATGAGCCTAATGAGGGACACTATTTAAACAACACATGTAAGACCTTCTGCAAGTGCTACAAGGGGGCTATGGTGTGCGAGTACAAACCCTGCAAGGCAACAGAGAAATGTATGGTCGTAAAAGGAGTGAGAGGCTGCTACAAGGAAGGGGACAGTAACAGCAATCAGTCAGGAGGACAATCTGGTAATAGTGACAGCAATCAGTCAGGAGGAAAATCTGGTAATAGTGATAGCAATGAGTCAGGGGGACAATCTGGTAATAGTGACAGCAATCAGTCAGGAGGAAAATCTGGTAATAGTGATAGCAATGAGTCAGGAGGACAATCTGGTAACAGTACCAGCAATTCATCAGGGGGACAATCTGGTAATAGTGACAGCAATCAGTCAGGAGGACAATCTGGTAATAGTGATAGCAATGAGTCAGGAGGACAATCTGGTAACAGTACCAGCAATTCATCAGGGGGACAATCTGGTAAAAGTGACAGCAATCAGTCAGGAGGACAATCTGGTAATAGTGACAGCAATCAGTCAGGAGGACAATCTGGTAATAGTGACAGCAATCAGTCAGGAGGAAAATCTGGTAATAGTGATAGCAATGAGTCAGGAGGAAAATCTGGTAACAGTACCAGCAATTCATCAGGGGGACAATCTGGTAAAAGTGACAGCAATCAGTCAGGAGGAAAATCTGGTAATAGTGACAGCAATCAGTCAGGAGGACAATCTGGTAATAGTGATAGCAATGAGTCGGGAGGACAATCAGGTAATAGTGACAGCAATCAGTCAGGTGGGCAATCTGGTGGCTGTACAATGGAAGGTCAGTACTATGAGCCTAATGAGGGACACTATTTAAACAACACATGTAAGACCTTCTGCAAGTGCTACAAGGGGGCTATGGTGTGCGAGTACAAACCCTGCAAGGCAACAGAGAAATGTATGGTCGTAAAAGGAGTGAGAGGCTGCTACGAGGAAGGGGACAGTAACAGCAATCAGTCAGGAGGACAATCTGGTAATAGTGACAGCAATCAGTCAGGAGGAAAATCTGGTAATAGTGATAGCAATGAGTCAGGAGGACAATCTGGTAACAGTACCAGCAATTCATCAGGGGGACAATCTGGTAAAAGTGACAGCAATCAGTCAGGAGGACAACCTGGTAATAGTGACAGCAATCAGTCAGGAGGACAATCTGGTAATAGTGACAGCAATCAGTCAGGAGGAAAATCTGGTAATAGTGATAGCATTGAGTCAGGAGGACAATCTGGTAACAGTACCAGCAATTCATCAGGAGGACAATCTGGTAATAGTGACAGCAATCAGTCAGGAGGAAAATCTGGTAATAGTGATAGCATTGAGTCAGGAGGACAATCTGGTAACAGTACCAGCAATTCATCAGGGGGACAATCTGGTAAAAGTGACAGCAATCAGTCAGGACAATCTGGGGAAAGTAACAGCAAAGAGGTAGGAGGGCAATCTGGTAACAGTACAAGCAATATGTCAGGAGGAGGACAAGATGGCATGATGAAACTAATGAATTAAGAAGTCGTATATGAACGAATCAATGGAGTAATGATGGACGCAATAACCATCAAACCAGTAAAGATTATGACTTATGCAGCAACACTTTCTCTCATTCTTAACTATTTAATTTTGGTGTGAGATTTTTATGCATGTGTTTTTCACTGCAGTTATCATCGGTTTAAAAGTTCTTTCTTGGTGACAGTCCAAATGTTCTTGGGTATCAAAATCTTAAGTAACCTTTACTTTTGTCAGGACCTTTTCCCACAAAATATTTGATTATGTAAAACTATTGAAACAATCACGTAAGAAGATTTGGTTCTGTTTCTTTATGCCACTCTGTTTTAGCATTTTTCACTATTATTCACTAGATGCTGTCAAGTTGAGACCCTTCAAACAGCTAAAAACAGCTAAAAACAGCTTTAACCATTGTTTTGTTTTTTGTTTTTTGTAATAAGAAGCATACTGATGAATTGCATGTTTGTCTCTTGCTGTTTTTGAATAACAAAAAACAATATTTAAAACAAATGATGATTCTGTCGTAACCCTGGGTGATCACTGTTACCAACATCCTTTAGCACCTTTCTTCCTGTGTTCACATTGATAATCAGTAACCTGTACTAACATGTTTCAGTCTGTAAAAATCAAGTACATCTTATTCTCATTAAACAAATTTCAGCAGTTTAACCATCTGTTGTGTCTGATATCTTTAAAACTTTGTCACTAACTGCCAAATCCAGAAAGGCACATTGATGTTTTTGAAGACCCAAGTATCCTTTGAATGATCAGGTATTAAAAACTGACTCCTGTGTTTTTGTTAAGATAATGCTAAGAATCTCTATCCACTCGGAAACTCTGGTAAAAGAATGAAACATCAGCACACAGTTCAGCTTTATGTATTACCTTTTGTAACAGCATAAAGTCAAACAGCAACCAATCAGCATCTCAACATTATACATTTCACAGGTAATGATAGTGTGTGGTTTAAAAATAAAATAAACAAAGCAAGAGATTGAAAACAGTGTATACCGGACATAAAGACAGCATTTACCTTGCTATTTAGCTTCAGTAGTGTGGTATAAAGAAGTTTGCTAAAATCAGTCATACTAAATGAACTTAATGCAACACATTAGACATTCTCACTGAAAAAAACAAACATATCCAGCTACTTTACAATTTACTCACTTTCACAGACCCAAGCTGCCTGAATTGGTGTCTGAACAAATTGCAGTAAATTCTGAGGACTGGGTTGGTTAATAAGAGATTTTCTACCCTTCTGCACCCCATCTTACCGTCAACATACAAGGCCACACCCCCACCCCTTTTGTTGGCCCTATTTACATGATATAATTCATAACTCTCAAGATAAAAATCAGAGCCTCTGTTTTCATTCAACCATGTTTCAGACAACGCAATGACCTTGAATTTATTATTGAATGTGTCCAAATAATCCCTAATGTCCGTAAAATTTGCGTACATACTTCTAGAATTAAAGTGAATAAGAGAAAATGAATTGTCCAGTTCTACATTATCATTAATTTGTTCATTACTATAGTGTTTACAAGTGTCTCCAACATAACTGAATAAGTGATTCTCAGGGTCTACATCATCTAAATCATACATATTTTCTTCATCATCGGAACCTGTGAGGATTTGACTCCCAACCATCTCAGTCATTTTCATCTTTAGAGTGGCTGTAGCCTATCCCTCTGTCGGGATCAAAAGATCAGGATGCCAAGTGGATTTTCTGTGGGTTCCTGGACATTCAGGAATAGAGGGAAGTAAAATTGCAAATTCTCTGGCAAAGCAAGCATTATCTGTCATGAAATGAGGCACAGAAAGGAGGACACAGTAACAAGACACAGAATCAGTTTGTCCAACAGACAGGGTTTATTAAGGCTCAGGCAGGGGTCAGTACACAAAAGGCAGTCAGATCAGGCGGAGGTATCCAAAAACTTGAGGCAAAAAGGCAAGGTCTGAAAAAGGCAGGCGAGGTAATACAGGGGTATCAATAACTATGAATTATGCTGGAGCAAGACTATGAAGTGCAACGAGCTGGCGACAAGACAGTAGCCATGTTACACGTGCAAAGTTTCTTGATCTGATAAAAAAAAATGAAGGGATCGGAAAATCTGAATCCACTGATTATATGTACGCAACATCAAACAATCTGATCATGACATGCGCATACTTGCTACAAGCTTTATTCAGATTAGAAGCATTTGGACATGTGCAGAATTCAGATTTTGCAAAAACAACTGCAGAACAAGAGTTGTATTTATGCCTGTGCTGTCAACAAACCAACAATCGCTGTAATGGCTCACTCCATCCAATGCAGGAGTTTTCCCCTCTGTTACTTGTTGTCACTTGATGGCGCCCTTGCGTACTTATAATACTGTTCTGTCAAAGGTTGCACTGTGCGTGCAGATGTGACATCATTACACTGTATGCAATATTTTTTTGTAGGATGGTACGGGAAAGTCCCGCCTCCTTCGCCTTTGATTGGCCAGAAACGCCGGAAACGTCATCACACGCTCAAGCCAAACTGGGACTGTCAGCTCTGTGTATCGAACAGAACATTACAGAACATTAACGCACTTCTGAATCTCCTCACCCTAACCCTTGTCCAAATCCTAACCCTAACCCTTACCCTAACCCTAACCCAACATATGATGACGTTTCACGGCCATTAGGGAGAACCAATCGGAGCCCAGCACTTCTTGCCAATCAGAGGCAAAGGAGGGCAGGACCTTCCCCTACCATCCTTCAAAAAAAATAAATAAATTGCACGCTGTATGTACACCTTGCTATGTTATCATAGGAGCAGACACGGCACCTGCGGTTGTGTTTTATGCCAGAGTGTTAATAATGAAACCTCCTGTACTGGTCTCAATAAATAAGCCAAAGGCTAAAGAGTGAAGATCGAGTCAGGTGGGAGAGTCAAGATCGGAATACAATTTCTTTCCGATTGAGCCGAATTGGATCAGAATCTCCTGATAGACATGTTTACATGACCCATTTTATTCTGATAGAGCATTTAGTCGGATTATTTGTGTCCATGTCAACGTAGCTAATGAGACACACAGCAAAATACAGGAGATAATGAGGGTGTAGCAATCAAGACAACCCTGGGTGTGAAACTCACACATTCCTCACAGGAAAGTTCCCTTATCTGGTCCCAGGAAACAGGATATAAATCTTTCCAGACTTGTTTACACTTTCAGGTTGCCTAAGTGACCCAACCGGAGGTTGACCAAACTTCTGACTCTTCACGATTGGTCAATTCGGAGAACAGAGACAGAGTTTTTATTACCTTTTAAACTGACTCCATCACTGACCATCTAAATAAACATTAACGTCTCAACCCAGATCTCCCATTTGAGATTTAGCGTCTTAAAGTGTGTGAACATACAGACCCCAGGATAAGGGGGGACACTGACCTCCAGACCTCGGTCATAAAACCCTGCTTGACCATACACTGATAAAGACTACATTCCTTTGGTGAAAGAATACAAATGACTGATCCTGACATCTTATGCATTCGGCAATGTACTAATCTGTCTAATCATGAAATTTGTGATAAAATGAGATGTTTCCCGTTTTTCTATGTGCTCCAGAAGCCAAATTATCACTCCGGATATCTTTAGACCAACAGCTTTTCAGACTGTTTCATGAACTTTTAAGAGTTAAATTTATTGATTGTGACTCATAACTTTAACTCTTATTAACAGAAATGGTTTAGAAATGTTTGGTTTATATTTTAGTTGTTTATTTAGTATTTTTAACCATTAGGTGGTTATAATGTCATTGAATAACCTGAATGTGAGTATTTAGAATCCATTATTAATCATGATGAAGTTCATTCACATGTGTTTACTCTTTTGTTGTTCACAGTTTCCTGAGTTACTATCTGTTTCATTTCAGTGTAATTTAGCATGTTCAATGTGATACTTAAAACATAATGAGAATGTTTGATGTGTTCCTACACATCATTCATATGTGTTTAGTATCAAATTATTTATCATGAAACCTAGCATTCAATGATATTAATCATAGTGAGTGAGTATCAGATCTGACTCTTTTGCCAGCCAAAAGAATAAGTTAGATCAAATAATCAGAGATCCGAGGTCTCCTCTGCTTGGAGACCCCACGACCCTCCTCCTCTGTCTCCTCACGCACACGCCGGAGACACTCCCAGTGTGAGAAGATAAAAACCAGTGAAGTGGGGTTGCTCACTCTCTTGTTCACTCTTATGCTCTCTTATGCTCTTATTCCTTCCTTTCTTGTACCTACTCTTCTGTCCACACCCTTCTGTGGTCCTCTTCTTCCTTGTTTTCTCTTAGAACTTTTTCTTAGTCTTCTAAGTTTTACGCCACGTGTTGATTCACGTTGATTTTTCTTTAACATCGTCTTAGTTCAAGTTTTGAAACTTCAACTTTTTGTGCACATAGCAATTCAAGATTAAGCCTTTGATTGATTTTTCTTTAATTTCGCGAAGCCATTTTTGAAAGTTTTCTCTGCTCTTCGAGCCTCGTTTTCTGAGTTTTCTGCGTGATCTCCAAGTCACCTCTGAACGCAACCAAGCAGGCCCAGGTCATCCTCTGTGCCAGAGTTTTTGAGTGAGACCAAGGAAGTACCCAAACGAGCATCAACAGGATCCACAGGCGCTGGCTTTGCTTCGGGCCCGAGTGCTGCAACTCCTGGCTCATCCTTCGGCTGACTTCAGTCGTCTTCTGAGCTGAACTGCTCAAACCGCCAGTAGCCCCGGACCTTCGGAACCTGCTCCGCCTTCTCCAAGGACCAGTCTCACTTAAGTATGCAAACCTCCAGAGCTCCAAACAGGGCTGATGCTGTCTCCTGCGTTCATAACTCAGATATCCACCTATTTCTAGTGATCTTGGATTCCTCCAAATCCACCTCCGAGTTTATCTCGACACCAAAGTTAGTGTAGGTTAATATGTTAGGGCATATTCACTCACTATCATTAACTTTAGTGCTCCTAGCCTGACTCAGAATCTTTATTTATTCACCTATTATTATTTATCTTCATTATCTTATCATCATTTATTGCATGTATGTTGTACCATCATTTATCCTGTAATAAACAGATCATTATTTTTCTAAGTTCCTGTCTGTTAGTGTTCTTCCAGAAGTGGAGTCCCTGAAATTAGAATTTCGACTTAAGATATGAGACTGATTAATTAAGACTGATTAATTAAGACTGATTAATTAAAACTGACTTGATGTTTGATTTCTGAATTAAACTTTTGTTTTCTTTATTTTCCCACCATTAAGGGTGGGTAGTGCCCCTTTCAACGAGTGCATAAATGTCATAATTTGAGATTATTAATCTCCAGACATTTATTATAAAGTCAAATCGCTACAGTATTATTCTGGTGCGGCCTTGTGAGGCTCATTTCAAATCGCTACATATATTTTGGTGCGATCGTGTGAGGCTCATTTCAAATCACTACAAGGGTGATGGAAAACTGACACAGTCAGGCAGCAGGTGTTACAAGACAGGGGCAGGGCAGACCAGACAGAAACAAATTTAGAAGACTGGAACAAGGGTAAGTGATCAACAAAATAAAACAGGAAGCACATGAAATTACCTTTTTCCCAAGAGGGGGAATATCTTTCAATATCTCAGGGTGTATGTTTATTATTTACTTATTATTTATTTATTTAAGTTTGGACATTGTGTGAATGTAAACAATGCAATCCAATGATTTGCAAATCTTTTCCCACATATTTTCAATTGAATACACTACAAAGACAAGATACTAAATTTTCAAGTGATAAACTTTATTTATTTTTTTCCATACTTATTTTAAATTTAATGCTGCACAACTCTCCAGAAAAGCTGGGACAGGGTCATGTTAACCACTGACTTCCATCCCCTTACTTTTGACTAACACTCACCAAACATCTTAATAAATATCGTTCTTACATAATTTTCATGGATGATGACAAATAAACTATAATTTAGCCATCAGCGGTGTGATGTCTCGACAAATCTAGCTGATGCCTCCCTAGATGGAGAAGCTCATAAGATGTTTTCAGTTAAACTGTGGACAGATTTTACATCCAATTAATATGTGTAGGTCTAACTAAGAACAAATACATCCATGCATTATAATGTATCTGAGTTGATATAACTCAAATACATTATAATGCATGCCTGCTTACAAAACACCAAAACAGGCTGATAACAAAATGACCTCTATGCAATGCCACACATGCATTCATTCATACAAAAGGAGCCCTGACTAACTACTGGATTCATAAGTTTATATTGTTTTCACTGGGTTGACTTTTCTTTAATAAAAATCGTTTTGATTGGTCCTGTGTTATGCTCTAATATTTTAAGGTACTTGTTTTTTGTTTTGATGAGCTCCAAGCATAGACTGTATATAGAATGAACAGCATCTGCCTCCTCACTGGGTGAAGCCACTCCGAGAACAGCACCCTCTGGTGAAAGGCTGCAGTATAGGTCATAAATTCAGCCTCCACCAGCAGAGCTTATTAACATGTCGTTACTGTAAAACTGGTTTGTGTTCAAGACCTCTTTTTTCTTTTTTAAAGTTATTGGGGGGGTTCATGTTTTCTTTGATTGACACTTGGTACAGCCTGTGGGCGTACGAAGATTGCGTAGCTCACCTGGGGGATATGCTGTTTGAGTTGAGCGTCATCACAGCAACTCTCAGCAGTTCACCCACTGAATGCGTACAATACTACTGTGCAAGTGGTGGAGTGCATACAATGCTTCTGCGCAATGTTGGTTTCAGGAAATGAAGAAAAATAACAGAAATACTGAGAGATTTTCTGCTTCAAATCCGTATACTGGCGGAAGGCGGAACCAAGTTGACCATAGTATATACAGTCTATGGCTCTGAGCCATGATCAACAAAACTTGAATAAAAAAAAACTTGATTTATATTATTTTTCTATTTTTCAAACTTTTTGAAATAAACTACAATTTTTAAAAATCCTGCATAGAGCAGTGGTGTAAGGGCAGAGAGAGGTTTGCTGTTCACCCTAACAAATGATGTACTTACACAATGTATAAAACTGATGTAACAATTTGCATGAAAATTTTAAGTTTTTCTATCTTAGTACATAGTACTGAGTGCATGCCACAAGACTTCTTTAGCTAGGCCAACTCAATTACTTCCGTACAAGCAACATGCTTTGCCTTGTCCTCTACAAGCTTACTGAAGTTAAACAAACATATTTTTAATTGCGTTTAAATTACCCTTTTTGAGTTACTCTAGCTTGTTTCTTTTCCTTTCATCCTTACATGGCAAAACCTGTCAGTCACCAATAACGAAAGCGCTTTGTTACAGTCCCATGAGTCTTTGCTCTAACCCAACTGACCAATTCTGAGGCAACTGCCCCAGGGTGGCCACACTGAATGTCACAGTAACAACACAAACAGTGATCTACGACTCACTGCACCATACATGAGGACTGGTGGTGATGATAATAATGTGTTGATATTGAGAGGTAGAAGTTAAGAAATGGATCTCAAATCATGCTGTCATCCAGGTATTACACAGTCTCACCCACACTGGAATTGCGTCAAACTTTGCAGTTTGAGCACTTCGCGCTGTGCTCCAAGCTGGAGAAAGATAAAGGTGGGAAAGATGGTCTGGATCAAACCATTTTCAAGGCAAGGGAGGTGCTATTGTATTTTTGTTGTTAAAGTGGTACATTTCAATCATATGCTGTACACAGTTTTGACATTTTTTCAATTTAAACATGGACATACGGTTAAAAAATCTCTTAAATCTTGGAAATGCTTTTGTTTAATTTGGGGTGCACCCCCAAAAACAGGCTAGAGATGCCTTCAGCTCTTCATTCTCTCTTTACTCCACCCAGCTGCCTTTGCATGCAGAGACATGATGAGTTGAGCCCTGTTATCACACAAATAAATAACAACACAAATATTTTTATCTGATCTGTGCATGTCCTTCAAAATAAATCTCTACAGGGTCCAATCAGCCAAACCCTATGGCCTAAAGGGTTTACTAGTCAGATTTTGCATTTGCTTTCACATGGTGTTTGAATTCAGAAATCTTCCAGGGCTGTTATTTGGTGAGTAAAGCTTCAGAGCTCTTTACTCGAGTCTCTACTGAACTTCTGTTGCAAAATCATGCCGAAGAGCTTTATTTATGACTAAACAATGTTTATATGCGTGTTTTTGTGTGATTTTCTTTTTGTGAGTCCCTGATAATCTTGCTTTTTTTCCTGGCTTTTATCGGGTCATTAATAGAAATGCAACCACCTAATAACAGTTATCAACTCATCATAATAAGAGCAAGGACAGATCACACATGACATTTTAACTCAATCTGCAGAAAATAGCTCTTGCACATTTTACTTCTGCTTTTTGACACTGGGGCGTCAGATGTTTTTGATTGTTCAATGCAATTAAATAGGAGAGGATCTTCAATAAGTCATTCAACAAAAAATCATCTTGCTCCCCTTCACTTTTTTTTTAAAGGTGAAGAAGATTCATACAAATATAGGTCCTCTGAAATGACAACAACGCAAAGTCTTCAGCTGGATTTTTCTTTAGACAGGAGCTGAATGGCGCTGCGCCAATCACCAACTTACAGTTTGGTCTCTGTCAAAACAAAAGCACGAAGTCTCAGAGGAAGAAAGGAAGCTCACCAAGTGTTGTTTGAGCTGTGACGACAGACCGACTTCTCCAGGTGAAATGAAGGTGTGAGACTCAGTCTGTCGGTCTCTCAGCAGGCAGTGATGGACAAGTTTAAGAGGATCCAGAACATCGCCAACCAGCAGGACAACTTCAGGGTCGTGGCCCTGCTGACTGCAGGGGGCAGCAGCTCTTCACTTTAATGGTCTTTGAGTGTCCATGCAACAAGGAGCTGAACTTCGTGTACGGGATGGTGTCTATGCTGGTGTCCGCTCTGACCCTGCTGCTGCTCGGATACATCCTCAGTAAGAAGACCTGGAAGCTGATGACGGGTATGTGCCGGCGCAGAGAGCGGCCGTGCGGGTGGAGGAGGGTGGCTGCGGCCGGGGCCGTCCTGTTCCAGATCAGCACCACCGCGCTGGTGGCCCCGTTCACCTGGGTAGCCGTGGCTCTGCTCAACGGGAACTACGTGGAGTGCGCCGTGACCGGGACCAACTCTAGCAGCTTCCACAGACACCTATGCGGAGAGACACCGCACACGTAGCAGTGCACCAAGGAGCTGTTCAAGTTCCCCTGTGGAGAAGTCAGCGGGGTCCCAAAGGTTTACAGGGATCAGGTGATGCTCACCCTCAGGGCTCACTCTCAGGTCAGTGGTCCGCGTGCACTTCTGCTTCCATTACCTCAGTTCGACTCTTAAGGTGAAAAAAACTGAATACATCTTTGAGGCCAAGAGGTAACTAAACGCACGTCTCAGAGCCAAATTAATCAGAAAACAACATAACGATTTCAAAGATAATGATAGGGTAGACACGTGTTTGATTTACAGTGATGATCAGCAATAAAAAGATTGAGCCTAAATGTTGTCCATGATAATGTTGTGATGGTTCCGGTCTCTGTTTAAAAAGCTGGATGGCAGTACTATAAATGTCACATCATAGTATGGGATAAATTGCAGAATAGGCTACAAAATGCTCTTAAAAGAAACAAGTATAAAAAGTAATCTTAATTGCATTATAAATTCATGTCGTTTTTTTTTTTTTAATATTTTTAGTAGTAGACCTATATTGATAGGCTACTCCCCAGAGTGCCTTAAATCTATGCTTGTCAACATACCATCTGGATATTTCTGTAATTATAGTAATTATAATACTGAGTAATTAACTTTAGGGTTTGAAAAATATACCTGGATCATGTTGCCACAGACCACTCCTTTCCCAACACCTTGCATTTTCTGTGCTCTCATCACCTGCTCTTCGATGTACAGCTAAGCAACAGATTACCATCATTCAACACTCTTGCAAACTCCACCTCACCAACCTGCTTCCTAATAGACTTTGTTAATTTAGCCGGATCCATGCCCCTCACCCCTCCTTCTCCTTAAAATCGCACCACAACCTTCCGTTTTTCCTCCCTCTGCTGTCCGTCCTCCACCATTCGCCTCTTCAATCCTTTATTCAATTTCCTCATATCCCAACCCCCATCCTCCTCGTCCTCCCTCTCATCCATACTCCACACACTCTCTTCCCGTGATCCTGCCATAGGTGGAGAAAGAGCTATTGGCACGAATACCGTCTTATTGGACCTTACAGGCCATCGGCCGGTACTCCCACACAATATTCCTTCACTCACCCTTCCCTCAACAATCTTACTTAAGTTTTACTAACTCTATGATTTAACCAGCAGCGCTGATCCTGCCTGCAAAACCAAATCCGAGCAACCGTTTTGGATTCTCTTCCCTTCCTCTTCCTTAATCCCAGTTTACACCTGCATTTACCGCGCTGAACGATGACGTCACTCCAGCGACAACCAACGACGGTGTCACCATGTCACGAAGGACCCTGGGAAGTGCAGTCCTCGTCTCCATCGCCGTCCCATTCTTTCCTCCCACGGCTGCAATTACACGGAACAGAACCCGGACCTGGAACAGAATCATGCCACCAAATTTAACTTTGCAAAACAAAGCTAAATTTTTTTGACAAAGTGTTCCTGACTGAAATGAAGCATAGCATTAGTTCTGTCAGGACACGACGTCAAGCGCTGATCCGCAGCCAATGGCTAGTAGCCACCTCAACCAGACGATAGTCAGCTGATTCACTCCTTGCTCCTATTGGTCCTATGCCTATAGAGCACCTTATTTAAAACTGCACTTACCCGGCCTCTCCCTCTGCTTCGACAGCTAACCAGCAACCCACTGCCACCCCAGCTCCACCCTCGTACCAGCTAATCGCTCCGCTACCCTTGAAGCGCTCCTGTTCCAGGGGGCTTCTGTTCATCGAGGCTCTACCCCCGCCATCTCTGCCTTCATGATGGCGCGTGGAGGGCGGGAAGATGTTCTTCCTGCCACTGGCCTTTCACCCATGCCAGCGTGGAGAACAAAGGGCCCCAAACAGAACCTCACGTACGCTCTTTGCTATTGCCTTTCATGATGGTTCATGATGGGCAGGAAGGGGTTCTTCCTGCCTCGGGCTTCCACGCAAGCACGTGGTAGGGCAGAGACCCGGAACAGAATCGTGCTGCCAAATTTAACTTTGCACAACAGAGCTAAATTTTTTGACTAAGTGTTCTTGACTGAATTATTGCCAAGTAAGTTGGCTGAGTTACATTTTTATATTTTATTTTTAGTAGTTTCCCTGTGCGTTTCACCCCTGTGGGATTGCACCTACATGAAAATAAATATCATTCAAAACCACTTTTTCACCTTGTATGCTATGATTTGCAATTAAATCTTAAATTATTGGACTACAGAGCATTTTTACTCACACATTGACTCTTTCTGTATTTTTCTTCCATGCACCTTCTCTGTCTTTAGTTGCCGCAGCAGTGTTGCTCTTTTTGATAAAAATAGATTTATACTCATTGTATGATGTCAATAAAATTTCTAATTCTATCCGCATGAAATATGCGGCTCGATTCTTCTTGTCACCAGTGGCCATGGTTGCGTTGTTACATCGCAGTATCAGTGCTCCATTGATGATGGCTTTTTGTACTGGCTGTGCACCAGCTCAACCCAAGGTGAACCTACTCAGTTGATTGACCTAATTCATATCAGCTGTTCTGGAACCGGATACTCAATGTTTCCCGTCTCAGGGTAAGTTAACCTCAAACCCACGATTAGACTCAGAGTTTTCTGAACTATCTACCAGGAATTCCCCCCTGTTTATGCGGAGAAGAGTTGTAAAAAGTAGCCTAAGAATTAGTGAATGACCTCTGGATTACAAATGCACAATTGAATAATTTTCTGAATGTTTTTTTAACCGACGGTTAAAACAATAATCAGTTAACAAGCCTTAATGGACCAAGTGTTGGTGACGGCCTGTGTCAATAGGCAACCTGATCCTCTATAGATGATTGAGAGGATGATCAATGATGTTGGTGTTGTTTTGGATTTTTGTCCATTGGCTACTTTTTTTTTTTCGACTCTGTAACTGAAACGCTGATAATTCGGGTGTGACGTCATTCCCAGCTCGGACTTCTGAGGTAAATGGAAAGCACCAATATGCTATGCTCATGAACAGGTCACATTAACCAATCAGTATTAATCTGATCTCCATGTTTTGAAATGTGAGCATGTTTATAAAACAGCTTCAGCGCAACCACCGCAGAATTAGGTGATTTAGTCCCCAAAAAGAGAGACACAGCAGTCATCTGGGAGTATTTTTGAAGCTGTAGCACCAGAAACAGGTAGGCCTCTGTGCAAAACCGTGCTAAAGTTGCTACATCAAGCGGAAACACAACCAACTTATTCCAGCACTTGAAAAACCACCACAGACACAGGCATGAGGCGTGCATGACTTAAAAGTCCTATGAAGAATCTAGCAAACATGTAACAGCTAAAACAGCTAAAACCCACAGGATCCGGAATGGCTGTGCTCGGATCCAGAACAGCGGGTGGATCAAATACGCAAGCGTTATGATCAATGTGCGTGATTCCACACAATCCGTCCGCCGTCCTGCTCCACTGTGGATCAGGATGACTTGGGATGACTCAATTTTCTTTAAATGTGAAGACTGGCTTCCCATTCACAATTCTTACCTTTAGTTTTCATTCTTGCATCAAAGTAATGGGTTTTTATGTTTTGATTTGTAAATGTTACCATGCACATTGTGAATGGCACACTGCAGCTTGATTTGAAGAAAATCATCAACTGCATTAAAATTGCAATTTCTGCCAGAAAAAAAGTCTTTTTGAATTTTGTGGAAATGATCTGTAAAGTTCTTTCCTCTTTTTGGTTGTCACTTTGTTGTTTAATGTTTAAAGTAACCCCTGTGTGCTTGTGTGTATGTATTGTTTTTTTGTCTGTGTCTTTTGTTTTGTGTATGTTTTGTATGTATGCAAGATCGCACAATTAAAATACAACTGCTGTGCTCCAGGGCTTTTCTTCAAGTCAGTCGTGACGTCTGAGCCTAAGGGTGGGGACATTTGGCAACTCAATCAGGAAGTCCTCCAAAGGGTAGACTGTCCCAATTCACAAAAGTTGATCCACCTACCCAGGGTACTCGAGTGCACAGAAGGGCAGTGCGCTCAGAGGAGTGCACTCAGCTGTATGCAGACCCTGAATTGAGACACAGCCGTTAAACACACAGGGAAATGAGCAACAAGAGGCAGGTGAGACACTGAGACACAAGTACAGACAATTACTAAGGAGGAAAAAACTGAGAACGTAAAACAAAAGGCACACAAGGATGGACTACTACAAAATAAAACAGGAAACACTGAAAACTGGTCAAAAGAATAAAACACGAAGAACATGAGGGAAACAGGGTCAAACACAAACTGAAAACTGATGAGACAGGATAACAGGAACAACAGGGAACAGAAACACTAGGAAAAACACACAGAAAATGCACTTGAATAACAAAACCAAGAAAAATCTAAGTTAACAGAACATATCATGACACCCTTAAAATGGGTTATTGATTCAACCCAAAATTTGGGTTGATGACACAATTTAAACTAAGAAAATAAATAGGCCATGTAAATGTTTGTCATGTTTGGGGTTTTCCTGTCACTTTGCTGAATTCTCATCAGTGACCTAAACATTCATAGTCTACATTGTTTTGTCTAAAAGGTGGTGTTTTTTTTCTCCTTTACTTTATCGATGAAAACTTGAACAAAATTGCCAACTGAAAGTGTGCTAAGGCAACACTTATGATCAGGTTTTTGACACTTTATGATGCCAGGGGACAGCAGGAGTTGGTCATTCTATAGTTAACATTTTGAAACTCGGCTTTATGTTAGACAATATACAAGAGTATAATATGCAGATTTTTCTTTAACCTGATGTATTTTGTAATTGCTTGAGAGGGAAATGCGACAGGAGAGAACAATGTAAAAGGCAAGGTATAGCCAACTAAAATAGCCTACTTAATCTAAATCAGAGATGTTTTCAAATTATGGTAAAGAGTTAGGCCATAAAAAATCTGATAGACATGTTAGACATTTTAACAGTTTTTTTTTCAGGACATTTTTGCTCCCCAAAAAATTTGAGTGTTAGTTAAATTGAGATGGACCCGGGTTGGTAGTTAATCAAGAAAACCTTGCAAAATAACAGTTTAATCCCAAAACCATATGCAGTTAGACCCAAACAGCGGCATCTGCACAAGCAATGGCAACTCGCGGCAACTTCCAGCATCTGCCGCGACTGCTAGTGGCACCTCGTAGCAACCTTACACATCTGCAGCGGCACCTTTTGATGTGAATGTAAATCACAGAAAGGTCATGTAAGTGTGTAAAAATACATGTGCAAGGTTTGAAGGTGTTCAAAATTCACACTTCAGGTTGTTTTATGTGACAGGGTCTGATCTTATCCACAACGGGTAGAAATATGGGGATTGTAGGTCAAAATAAAGTGTATGAGAAAGGGCCCAAAAGTTTTGAGTGTGTGTGTGTGTGTGTGTGTGTGTGTGTGTTTGTGTGTTCACCTTAGAAAAACAGGGGTTGCTTCAGCTGACGTCCTCAGTGATGAAGGTGTGGACATAAAGAGCTGATCATGTAATTCAAAGTACATTAGAAAGATGACTGTGTGTGTATCGGTGTTCTAATAAGCATCCTTGTGTATAAAAGCAGTAGGCTTACCCAGGTCCTCCTTTCACACATACTAGTTTTACTCGTGGTGAAACAACAGATGCCTTATCAACTGAGGAACACTGAAACAACAAACAGGATTGTTTTCACTGTGACACCTCCACCTGTGGACTTCTACTTCACTGTGTATGTGAATGAATGATGTCAAACCAATGAGCCAATTATCAAATGAGGTGTGCAATGAAGACACATATAGTGTTATAAAAGGTAGGCAACAGGACACTTAATTGCTCTTGGCACATCTCAGCTCAACTCAACTCAACTTTATTTGTAGAGCACTTTAAAACAACCACAGCTGTACAAAGTGCTGTACATAACAGGACAAAAACAACAAGATAAAAAACAATCAAGAAACAATTAAAACAATGGATAAAATAAAAGCAGAATTAATAATAAAATATAGCTTCAATGTTTTTAAAAACTAATTTAAAAACATAGAAACAAATAACTAAAAACAAACCATAAAACACTAAAACAGGAGCCGAGTCTCATGGAGGGTTAAAAGCCAATGAATAAAAATGGGTTTTAAGACGAGTTTTAAAAATGGACAGTGTGGGGGCTTCTCTAATTTGGAGGGGTAGCTTGTTCCATAAAATTGGGGCAGCAACAGAAAAAGATCTATCCCCTCTGAGCTTCCGTTTGGACCTCGGTACCTCCAGGAGCAGCTGATCAGCTGACCTGAGGCACCGAGCTGGGGTGTAGGGGTGGAGAAGCTCAGAGAGGTATGATGGAGCCAGACCATTTAAAGATTTAAAAACAAATAAAAGAATCTTAAAATGAACTCTAAAATGCACAGGTAACCAGTGGAGGGAGGCCAGGATGGGAGTAATGTGCTCCCTCTTACGTACTCCAGTTAAGAGCCGGGCGGCTGCGTTTTGAACTAACTGGAGACGTGAGAGGGAGGACTGGCTGACTCCAAAATAAAGTGCGTTACAGTAATCCAGCCGAGATGTAACAAAGGCATGGATTACTGTTTCAAAGTGCGTTCGTGAAAGGAAAGGCTTTGCCTTCGCCAGCTGCCTAATATGATAAAAACTGGATTTCACTACGGAGCTAATTTGCCTGTCGAATTTAAAATCACTGTCCATCTTAAAACCCAAATTTGAGACGGTTGGCTTTAAATAATCTGCTAAAATACCCAAGTTTACAGGAGGGGTTTCACAAGGGCCACTGGGACCAAAGACCATCACTTCCGTTTTTTTTTCATTGAAGTTTAAGAAATTCAAAGCCATCCAGGCTTTGATGTCTTCAAGACACGCCAGAAGTGGAGTGACGGAGAAAGCATTTTTTTTGTTAAGTGGCACATATATCTGACTGTCATCAGCGTAACAGTGAAATTAAATGCCATGCTTTCTCAAGATGGATCCCAGGGGCAGCAAATATAAAGAAAAGAGCAGGGGCCCTAAAATCGACCCTTGTGGAACCCCATACGGCAGTGGAGCAGAGCTGGACTCTGTATCTCCAAGGCTCACGCTCATAGTTCTGTCGGTCAAATAGGACTTGAACCACTCTAGTGCAGTACCACGGACACCTATAAGATAGCTTAGCCGAGCCACCAGAGTATTGTGGTCCACTGTGTCGAAGGCTGCAGTTAGATCTAACAGAACAAGAATAACATAATCACCAGAGTCATTTGCCTGGAGGATGTCGTTAAAAACTCTTATTAAAGCAGACTCTGTGCTGTGGCGAGATTTAAAACCAGACTGGAAGACCTCCAAGACACCATGCTCATCCAGAAAGGACTTTAGCTGAACATGAACAACTTTCTCTAAAATCTTTGAAATAAAAGGAAGCTTGGAGATAGGCCTAAAATTGGCCAGCACACTGCAATCAAGGCCTGGTTTTTTAAGTAGAGGCTGCACCACTGCATGTTTAAAACCTGGCGGAACAACACCAGAGGACAGACTGCTGTTTATGATAGCCAGAACAGACTGACCTATGCAGGGGAAAACCTCTTTAAACAGCCTGGGAGGGACAACATCACAGGGAGAACCTGCAGGCTTAATATGGCCAACCAGCTCTTCTAAATATGACAAAGACACAGGCTCAAACCTGTCAAGAACTGCCGAACAAGGAACAGGCACAGAGGGGTCGGATGCAGGAGCACAGATGAGAGACCTGGCAGTCACAACCTTTTCAATAAAAAAGTACAGAAAATCATTGCACATTTCCACAGATGCCTCCAAGCTGGCAGGCTGTGGGGCGTTTAGAACAGTGTCGATACTTTTAAACAGCACACGTGGGTTATGGTGATTTACCTCCACCAAGTTTGCCAGATATTGTATTTTGCTCTGTTTAACAGTTTTCTGGTAGGTGATCAAGGAGTCCTTAAGGATTTGGAAAGAAACCTGCAGCATGTCTTTCTTCCACCTTCGCTCAGCTTTGCGGCACTCTTGTCTGGCTGCGCGAGTTTCATCATTGAACCAGGGCTCCGATTTAGCCTTTGGCCGAACAGTTTTTAAAGGAGCCACAGAGTCCAGAATATTTTCACAGAAGGAATGAAACCAGGAGCTGAGCACCTCTGTGTTCGCAGAGGAAGGGCAGACACAGAGCTGTTCAAAAGCCACAGAGAAGCACAAATATCTATCTCAAAGGTTTGACTTTTTCAAATTTGTTTGCATTTCAGATTATTTTACAGCAGTTAAATAGACTCTAAAGCTCTTCAAATAAACCTGCAAAAGGCCAAGGACACACTGATGCTCCCCTTTTGTATATAGATAATGCATCTGTTAAGAGAGAGACAAAATCAGAACATTGGAGACAGTGTTGGTGAACGAGGCCATTTAATATTTCACCACTTGAATGGAGCATTCAGTTTTTCAAAGTGTAACCATCTGTTCCACATTTTACACAGTCTATAGTTTGATCCACTGGCTCCAAAGTCCCCTGTGATTGTCGGAGGAATTGCAACCTTTGGTCTCTTTCTGCAAAAGTGAGTAAAAGACGGGCAGAAATATGTACAAAATGATGCAGTCTGTATGGCAGATATGAACGAACCTTAAAACATGCCACAAAACCTTCAGCCTAGGTTTGATCATTACATTTTAGTGTTAATAAATCACAGAAAAATTGTTATACAACTCAGAATATTTAGACATGGTTTCCTGAGGTGGACTTTCGTCACAGTTACCTGTCTTTGGTGCTTTATTTTTCTTTTCCCGAAATTTCTCTGTTCAGTCTGCTGTTTTGTGTTCTGCCCCATCCTACTGACACCCACCATCAAATCATCAGTCATATCAGGACCTCTCCAAACTTGACTCTGCAGTTTGCATACAGTCCCAATCACTTCACAGACAATGCCTTCGCCACCACCACCCTCCATCTGGCTCTTGCTCAATGGACAAAAGAGAAATATGTCTGAATAGGGCCACTCGCTATGCGGTCACTGAGGTTTAGACTGTGTTAATCAGCAGCATGAGATGTCTTCTACCTTGGAAAGACTCACAAAGAGATGCTAGACAATCATTCAGTATGTTTACATGCACAGTCAGGTTGAGCTACAGTTATAGCTCGATTAGGTGATTTAACTAGACCAGGAGTCGGCAACCCGCGGCTCTGGAGCCGCATGCGGCTCTTTCTTCCCTAAGCTGCGGCTCCCAATGGATTTGGAAAATAAATAATAAATACTTAATTGCATTTTATTTTATTTTATTATTATTATTTTTTTGTAATTCTAAATTCAAAGATTGTAATGCTCTTGTTACATTAAATAAACTATTAAGGCTGCAACAACGAATCGATTAAGTAGATTCGTCGTGACGAAAAAATCCGTTGCCAACAAATTCTGTAATCGATTCGTCGGGTCTTTATATATGTCCATGGACACCGGTGTGTAAATATCAGCAGGACGCACAGAAAAGAAACAGCCATGGCCGAGGCAGCGGCTGAGAAAAACATGGACACAACCCAACCCAAATCCCGACCTAAAACATCAGTGGTGTACATCAGTGGTGTGGGAAAACTTCACCAAGACTGAAAAGGAAGGCGTTCAGTGGAACATTTGCAAAGACCGTTTTGCATGGCTCGGGAGTACATCGATGATGCGTGAGCACAGGGCTCTCAAGTCTCACGCATTCAGCGTATGACACACGCATTCCCACTCGTTCACACGCTCACACACCACACATTGTATTTCTCACGCATTTAAATGAACACGGTGATGTCCACCAAGTTGCACTTCTTCAACTATGGAACAGGTGGGAATCAGCTGAGTTTCTCCGAGAGTTCAGAAGCTGCGTGCCACGCACAAGCCAATCAAATAAAGTATATCTACTGAACAGCCAATCAAAAAGCAGCATTGCTGTATCCGGGTAGATTTTGATATCTTGCGGTTTAACTACAGAAGAAGACAGACACTCGCCGAAATAGTTCATTTATTTCATAAATGCAACTCGCTACAGTTTTTAATATACTTTGTATAAAGGTAAAAAAAAAAAAGATATATGCAATGTTATCTTCATTTTAGATGTCAAAGAGGTT